ATGGTTAAACGTGTACAACTAGAATTAGAGCGCTCGATTAGCACAAAACTGGCATTGAATTCATTACTATAAAAAAAAGTTAAGTATCTGCCTATACATGTCCCACTGCTGGACAAAGGCCTCTGTACCGAGGGTATCAAAGCACAGTCCACTACGTGGCCCCACTGCGGACTGCCGGATTTTAAATATCTTCGAAATATATTTTTTTTATTATTGTTTCGAAAACCTGCAGGTTTCCTCACGATGATTTCCTTCACCGCTGAGCAAGTGATGATTCAGCACTTAAAATTAACAATTTCATTGGTGCTGGCACCGGGGATCGAACTCGGGTTGCTCGAGTATATTGAATTAAAGGCGAGCGCCCGGACATTGAGCTATCACGGCTCAGTATATGGATATGATTACTATATTATGTAACATTAATGACTATTTAATAAAGCACCCGTCCATAGAGTGGCACAAACTGGAGTCAAATAGCACAAAATCGACTCAAATGGGAATCGTTGGATGGGAGACGAAGGATATAAGTAAAAAAAAAGCAAATAATGCAGGAAATCAAATCTTTTTTTTTACTTTATTTTATGTAATAAAGCACCACTTGACAATCAAACAATTTAAATACCTACTTTAATTTTAACATCTTATTTATTTGATGTCTTAGGGTGTATGTAGCCGCTGAACATACAACAAAAATTGTTGCGTAAAATTCTAGTTAAAACGACGATATTTACTAATATTTGTTTGGCATAATAACGCAAAACGGGAATAAATTTTATACTTGTAATTTATTTAATTTTAAAAAATATTCCCTTAACGCGATAACTCAGAAATTAAATCACTACTACTGCCACCTATTAGAAACTCTCATGTATACAACATGAGGCCATGTCGTATAGATGGCGCTGCCGCATATTTATTGCCACTTTTAGTGTTACGACCACTTTGCCCGCATTTCGCTGGCTTTTATCTAAATTAGTCTCATTTCATTGTTGCTGGATACCTCTAACATATTCGTTTGGATTACATGCTCTGTCGTAATTTGCTTAATGTATCATAACGACTTTCGAGCCGATTTGTTTAAGGCTGAGAGGGCAGCTATTTGTGTTTATCGATATGGAATAAAATTATGATGATAGTTATAAATCATTTCTTTTCTTAACTGTTGTAAGTTAAGCAATTAGTTGTTCAATCTATAAGCACGAAATTGCAATAAACTAGAAATATTAGTTTTTTTATGTCTATAACAATATCAAATCTCTGCTTTTATTTGCAAGCCGTCCTTTATTCTAATACTGTTTAGCTATACTGTTTTGTGGTAGTAGTATATTTGCTAAAAACTCATCTTATGGTTTTCTCTATAATATACCACTGTCTAACTATTATAACCCAAAGCATAATTCTCAATATCCAGACCTTAAAATGCCTACCCAAATTTTATAACCGCATTTTGCGCCTTAATTACGTTATAACGAGTGGAAATTTAAAATTGACGGAAAATAACAATGAAAAATATTTAATTTGTAAAAAAATGTGGCGCAGGCAGTGACACACAATGTTCAGAACAAATTGAAATATAATAAAAGTATAAAATGAACTAATAGGACCAGATTTCCAATAAAATCCCGAATGATATCCAGATAGTTAATTCACTGCACGACTGGCGATTCCACTCGAGCTTAACTGCGGTATATGTTACCCGAATGGCTTTTTTATGTAAACGAGGTCTTTATATGTATGTTGCGATTGAATACAACAAGATTTCTTTGTGAATAGATTGGGCGTTTCCTTAATTCTATAGAGCTGTAAGCAGTTCATTACATTTGTTGAATTTATAAATAGCAAGAGATGACAGGAGTGTATTTACATTACCCGATTTATTTTTTAATATCTGTGTTTTGTGTACGAAGTATATGTGCAGTAATGTCCTATATGTCAGCACTAAGGATCTTAATTTATTTAACTTCATGAATAAACATGTAAAATGCGGAGGTATGCCATATAAGTTCATGCATAGATACCTAGGTATGTCAAGGAGCTCACTTTTTAAATAATTGGTAGAATGCATTTGTAACCCCGCAGGTTTTGTAAAATAGCTTGCCTAGTCACTATATTTGTAGTGACTGTATCCGTGAGTATATCCTACATAAAGCAAAAATAGTTTGAAATAAATTCACTGATTCAAATAGGAAATTTGAGGACTCCGTGGCGCAGTTGCCAAGGTATTGGCTTCGGCGTCGGGGGTCGTGGGTTTCCCACGGGACCACTATTTGTATGACCTACAAATAATTGTTTCGCATCTGGGTGTTTGTCCACGTGAAATTTATGTTTGTAAAACGTCCTTAAAACACAGGATAATGTTATCCTAAAGCAAGGGCAATGTTTAATTAAAAGCAAAAAAAAAAAAAAAAGTATTGTTTACTTAAAATCCGTATACGACTGATATATAAGTTCACCACGGAAATGGGATAACACAACAACTCTAGTGATATCCCGTTTAAATTTAATCCGAGTAATGTTTTCCGATTTATTCGCGGTTCAACCTCTCCCGGGGTAATTTGCCAAATACTCCAAATATGTCATAAGTGATGTAAAATGAAACTTTGGGGCATCTATTAATTACTTGAAGTGATTTTTCCACCGCCCTGTTGTCTAGCCTGTCTACCCTGTTGTGAGATTTGCCTGACACCAAATCTCGAGTAAGATTTTTCAAAATCCATATTTTTTTAATTCCGACCCTTCTGCACCTTTCCGTCAAATCCGGCTCTAAGTATACGCAATTTAGTATTTTTATTATTTATAATGTCTTATGAAAAATAATGTGGCTCTTGCTGCTGTGACTTCATTACGTGGACATAGCGGACGATATTATAATTTGCGATCTCACGGTCTCGTATGCTGGATACGGAGAAAGTCTTTTGCACTACAATTTTATCTTCATTATAATCTCGCAAGAAGTTCGGAATTTTATCCTTCTGATACAGTTTACATTGACATATATGAAACAATCAGATACTGTTTGTGTCTATCTAAATTTCTATTGTCCAAGGCAGGCATGTGTTTAAAAGGTATATGGCACGGCGAGCGTTTATTATTTGACGGTGAATAATCAGTTTGCGTTTATTAGGCACGTGTGGCTCGCCAATAGCAGTTGACCAGGGTCTTCAGCAGTGAGCCAAGGGCCAAACGCCGACCGAATGGGAGTACAATTTTAAGAAGCGCGTGCATTGCTGTAACACAAAAGAAACAGATTTGTAGCTGCCCGCTAAACCGCTAATTTTCTTTATAGATGTCATATTCTCAAACACATTCGCCCGACACAGTTCTCAATAAAAAAGTTTCATAATTTTATTATTTATTTCTTTTTATCAGTCTTTTTATTATTTTATTGTAATTAATTATTTGCATGAAATTAAAAACCAGTTTTCATGATGCCAAAGAATTATAACTTCTCACGCGCGTACATAAGTAGATATAACCATTTTTTTCTGTACTTTTTTAATGTTAAAGATTTTGTTTTGTACTTGGTTTGTTTTGAGAAAAATCTTGTTTTTAATTGTGGTAGAACCACGCAACAGGTTTCACTGTTGCACGAATGGGCAGGTCTGTCCGGGTAATTACCACACACACAGAAGACCGGCGTAAAGTAGAAGTGTTACACTTCTGCGTTTCGTCTGGTGAGTGAGGTAGCCAGGACCCACTTTATTTAAAGGCGGCAACGCATATGAAACCCTACGGGCGCTGCAAATGTCCATGGTGAATTACCCCGCTTACTATGCATTTTGGAGCGATTTGGTTTGTAACTTATTTTTATTTTATTGCTTACAGCCCTACAGACTACAACTAGACACATTTGCTGTAGCTGTAGTTTGCCTTGGCACTGGCTGTTTCCCCATAATTATTATTCGTCCTATTTTCCGTCCGTATCCTCCTCATCAGCGATGAAGTGATGTCTACAGGCTTACCAAATTAGGGCTTTTAGCCCCAAAATTAGAGTGAAAATAAGCATGTGGGGACTGCTGAATAAACTACTACAACCCACAAGCATATTGTGCTTTTTTCAAGGTCCAAAAAAGGTTATGGTCACTTTTAGAGGCATGATAATGGCAACATTATTTTGCTTATTTAGCCAAAATAAGTAAAAAAAATAATAAAATGTGTATTAATGAATGTAATTAAAAAAAGGCGCAAAGGTTCAAGGCCGAAATTGATATTTATATTAATACTAGCTGACCCGGCGCCGTTGTTTTGCCATATAAATTATTTATAGGATAGAAAAAAATGTTTAGGGTGGACCACCCCTAATATTTAGGGGGATGTAAGAAAGATGTTGTACGATTCTCCACCCTGGCCGATATGCACACTAAATTTCTCAAAAATCGGTCGAGCCGTTTCGGAGGAGTTCAAATACAAACACCGTAACACGAGAGGTTTATATATTACATCAATGTCAGCCTCGATATTTTGAAGGACTGTTCCAAAAAAAAAGCTATATCAAGTATTAAATATTTGACATCTACGGACTCTGTGCCGGATTCGAATTTGAAAAAATATCTTTTGTTTATTGATTTAATATTGAATATTTTTATCGATATATCGGATCCAAATATATCACCCAAAAATATAGATATATCACCCAAAAATATAGATATTTTAAATCAAAAATATTGATATATCGATATTTTTTCTGCATCCCTAATTACGGTTAGTGCCTCAGTATATGTGTATAATCTATGGTTAGTGCTCATTGCTCCATAGAGTAAGTACTTTAGAGTATATATGCTCTGTGACTCATGACTTGACTGCTGACAACTGACATGACAGTCGACAGATATCATATGGTTGAAGTTGATAATTTATATTATTTACATTGGATTGGAATTTGTCGGAAAAGAGTTTACTGTTTTGAAATTTGTACTAAATACGGCCTTTTAAGTCCTATTGTTTATAATATGGCAGCAAAAATATCAAGAACCCAAATTTTATCCCTTTACAAATCTTTAATGCGAGAATCTCAGATATTCCCTAACTATAACTTTAGGTAAAGGTTCATAAAATAAATGATACACCAGTTAAATTATATAACCTTAAATCTTAATTATAATGCGATACTTTGGTATAATAATAGGCTGACTGTATAATAACTAGCTGATCCGGCAAACGTTGTTTTGTGGAATTTCCTAAAATCCGTTCTCAGCTGACCTCTATTCGCCGAAAGGAATATTCCTTATGGTTCCAGAGATATCGTGATGAGTAAAACAGATATATAGAAGACTAACTGCTGCCCGCGACTACGTCTGCGTAGAATAGGCTGAAGGCGTAACATTCAGACAGAAAGATAACATAAAAATATGAATATAAACTATAGCCCACGTCTTATTCCGATGTATAAGCTATATTATTGTAAAGTTTCATTAAAATCCATTCAGTAGTATTTACGTGAAAGAGTAACAAACATCCATACATACAAACTTTCGCCTTTATACTATTAGTAAGGATTACTAATGATTACAAAAATCAATTTTCAGGTCCTATGCATTAAGGAGAGTAAGAGATGCTTTTAAAGAAAACAAATCATTAACAGATCCAAAACTGATAAGAAAGGAATATCAGTTTGCAAAAGAAAACTTAGCAATCATAACTAGGCAGGTGTGTATAACATTTTCACTTAACATATATCAAACCTAAAATGTAAAATTTCAATAAAATATAATTCAGATCAGTCCATGGAACAATTGCAGTTTTTCCTCTATTAGTTATATATGAAAATATAGTACGAAATTATTATTTTAATTATAGGCTGTGGTTGTTTATATTAATTAGTAGCCTATTCATAATTGCACAAAAACAACTCAACTGCTGATATTTTTGCAATATTATGAGGTATTTCATATTAATAATGAATAGCATTCCAACAACACATATTGTTGTTTCACTGAAATGAAAATGGATTCATGTGTGAAATCTTTCTTTTTTTATTTGGTTACATTTATTTGTCTGATAATTTTTTGTGAGTCTTGTATTACTTACTTGTGTGGTCTTAATACATTACTAAATCTTCACAAAATATATGTTTGTCATATTTACCTTACAGGTATCAATTGGTCAAATGTACAAAACAGAAAAGCTTGTAATTGAAAATCAACAGTAGATAAGCAGTGTCGACAGTATCTACAAGGAAATCAATATCCCTAGTATGTTGATAGTAAAATTTTAGCATGGATAATGGGCAGTTACAGTGTATAAACTTTTTGCAACAATCTTAAATGATCTCTTCACCCATCTATTCTATATTCTACCTTCTACCCATAGATGTACAATGCTGTACTGCAGAGGTATACAATATTAACTCCACATTTTTCAAAATTATTTTTTTTACACCATTAAAATCGCAAGAACAAATTCTACACAATAGTATAAGTATTAAGTCCTATGACACCTAATTAATAAAATATCCAATCATATATCACATAATATTCAATAATGCATTCAACAATGTTCACTCACCCATTTTTGCCTCTCCGCTAAAATTTGTATTTCAGCAAATACTACTGTTTACCTCTAAGGTACAAAATATCTTCAATTCATATCAGTGCAGCCAACACAAATGAGCCTGAAAAGCATCTGGTAGAAATTACTTTAACATGCATTTATTTTAAATCTGCTTTAATTTTCCTAACAGTAGAGGGTAGAAATCAGTTATACACCAAACAATAAAATATTGTGATGTAAAATTCCCTTTTCAATTTATCGCTTATCAGGAAAAGTGCAACAAGCTTAGGTACTCCACTGAGAGTACTCCGTAAGTGTTATATAGTGACTTCCTATTTGTGTTGTGGATATGCACTGAGATGTCTTTGTGAAGCAGTGTGAATATATCTGTTACTTTATTCAAATTGCTCTTATACAGCGTGTCTTTAAAATCGAGACAGTAAATGAACACACATACAGATGATAACTTTTTAAAATTGTATTAAACATTTACATTCTTTAAACAGTAATATTTACATTACAAGTTATTATATTTTCCAAAACAAAGAATTTTAGAACATCCTTATCTATAAAATTGTAACGTAAAGTTCGTTTGTAAAGGTCACAAAGCATATGAATGGAATGAATGAATTTAAAAGAGACAAAACATACTGTTAAAAGGAGAGGCTAGTAAAGCGGCACTGTGGCAATGAATGTAAAAGTTTCTGAATGTATGAAGTTGTAGCTGTATAGAATGTTACAAATTTTGTTTCTTTTTACTTAATTAGTTTGTTTGAAAAAAAAATTTTTAATCATGATTTTTTAACGTTAATATTTTTTTATGATTATTGGCAAATAGCATTAGCCGTGTGTTCATTTATTGTCGCGGTGGTAACGACACGCTGTATATTTACTACTACACAATTGCAAACTCTCCACAAACATTCCTACCACAAACTCTACCTACCTACCTACTTTCATTAAAAATTATTCAATATCATTAATGTTGCAGAAGATGAATATGTTTTGATTCATATTACAAATCACACATGAAAAAATTGCTAAAGAAAATCAATATACGAAATCAAAATTCACGAATATACTTTGTGTTGCCCATTACCTAGAGTAAAATATGCATTCATTTGTGTTGTCTGTTACAATGCATGTTAAACAATATTTTTGTTTTATTAAATGTATTATTATGATGTTATTTAAGCTCTATAAATAAATAAGTAATAATAAATATTTTTGTTTTTTAAGTTTAAAGTTTAGCAAATTATAAATTGTACATGAAAATTGTTTTTTTTCTCTAGATTCCACAATACAAAGATTTTAATTTTCAACTAAAATGTATTGTTTCTCTAATTATCTAAAATCTGATTTTATGTTACACACAAATTTTACATAGTATTAGATAGGATTTTAGGTTTCAGTATTAGAAAATGGGCAAGTGGTTTCACCCCAAGGTAAATGTTTATCACTGTTTTTTGATGTGCTTAATACCCTTGGGATTACCTTGCAGAGGTTTTGTTAGGGCTCAAGTTACATCATTTTAAATGCTACATAACACCATGGTACTTCCCTGGACTACTACAGAAGTTGCTGCATGCCTCTACCATAATATACAGCATGGTGTTACAACCACAACCTTAAATGAACACACTTCTAACCACTTGCCAATAATCATAAAAAAAACCATAATTAAAAAAAAATCAAATAAATTAAATATAAAAAGAAACAAAATTTGTAACATCCTATATACTTCTATATACTTAATAACTACAACTGACTGATTTATACATTCAGAGACTTTCATTTGTTGCCACAACGTCGTATTACAACAGTATGTTCTCTTTTAATTCGTTCAGCCAATGGATCTGCTTTGTGACCTTTACAAATGAACTTTACGTTACAGTTTTATACGTACGGTTGTTTTTAAATTATTTATTTTGGAAATTTAATAAATAATTTAATAAATATTTAATAAATTTTACTTTAATACAATTTTAAAAAGTTATCCCCAACTCGTATATGTGCGTTTATTTAAGGTCGCGGTAGTAGCACCACGTTTTATATTAAGATGACATTGATTGATTTGATTACTATAGTAGGTAGGTATGACACTAGCGCCCCGAAATTGAGACGCTCAAATTACACCAATTGGTGTAATTAGATAGTTTATTTATAAATTCTATAGAATGCTATCTCTTCCCTTATCATATGCTATCTCATCTCGTTCCATATCATATTATGTCACATTCACTTATATTTGTTATATTAAAGCGGAACAATTTTTAAACGCCGCGCAGTATGGAAATGCGTCATCTATGTTATTAAACATCATTGAGTAGATAATAAAATTAAGATGGCAGTTGTCATAAATAATTATATTAAATTCTGTGAAACGTATAATTAATAAAAAAAATCATTCAATAAATGACAAGGTTCTACGCTTATTACTTTCCTTATTACTCATGCTTTAATCAACAAAATTAACTTATTCAGTTACAAATTACAGAAGATTTTTCGTCTCTGTAGTCCTGTTCACTGAATTAAGTAATTATAAATTAATATATAACATGTAAAGCATTACTAAAAATCTGGTATATAGAATCAATGTCATTTATCAAAATATATACATATTTATGTACTTAAGACTTAAACCAACAGGAAATTCAAAACAAAATATTTTTTTCTCTAGGTAAATTACAACTTCAGCGAGCAATAACAGAACTGCTATCTTCAAGAGAAACAATGTTAGTTTCTATCTCCGATGAATGAATTCGGTTAAAACGTTTTTTCTTATCGTCTTTAGCATGATGCTTTTTGTGACTTTTGCCTTTTTTCTTTTTATGTGTGTGTTTCTTTTTCTTTGTCTTTTCAATCTCTCCTGAGTTGTCGACTATTGCATGTATCATTGTTTTAGGCCGATTTTCCACTGGGGCCATATAAGTTTCAATTGGTTCCTGTAATAAATTTTTAAGGATTTTGTGTATTGGGAAAAAAGTGACAGGTACGCCCTTAATGTAACATTTCCTGCTTAAAAGGGCAATTAATTAAGTAAATTCAACATGCCGTATCCAGAAGAAAAATAATAAATTTACTTTTCTGAGTAATCATGTATTATGATGGGAAATAGTAAAAATAGTAAGGAAACTTTGATTTCTACAGAAAGGTGTGGTTGCAACATAAATGTGCGATTTCCTGTTATCAGCATTACAATTTTCTAGGAAGGTTATTATTTTTCTTTCAATGTGAGAAGGTGGCAAGCGAGCTGTCGGTTCACCTGATGTTAAGTGATAACCGTCGCCCATGGCCATTTGCAACACCCGTAAGGTTGCAGATGCCTTGCCCACCAGACGAAATGCAGAAGTATAACACTTCTACTTCTGTGAGGTCGTGGTACCCGGACGGAGCTGCCCATTCGTGCAACAGTTGTTGCGTGGCCCTACCACCAAAAAAACGAATAGATTATGATAATATATACTTTAAGGCTTACTTTCGGAGAACCAGTCCTCCTATATATATTATTGCTGACATCACTCAAGTATCCGTTTAGATTAGTGTCTTCTACAAAGAGAGGTTGCTCGCTGGTAGCTTCCGTAGTGCCTCGCATTCGCTTACCGCTTCTGTTACGGATACATAATAGTTAAAAAGCATATCTACTCGAATATCGGCAGGTTACATTTATTCTTTTCTATCCCGTATTTGTTTTCTCGACCTTTTTAAGTTTCTTCAAAGGTTGCGGCGAAAAGCAGAATGTAAATTAGTCGACTTAAAAGAGAATACAGTATTGTATTGTCTTCTTGTTGACATTTCGTTATTTTTAATTTAATATTATTGTTAATACAAAGAAACTTTAAAAGAGAAAAAATGTAGAAAAAATGTAGCTCTCAGGCTTGATCGTGGGACAGTTGCAATGGAAGCGCCCCAGGGGCCGAATTCCAACACGTTGGAGTAAAAGTATTGTAGAGGTAACGGGAGAAACTCTACAACGATCCATTGAAATGGCGCATACATATGGTCACGATCCTCATTAGTGAAGGAACGACGAAGAAGAAGAAGATTGTTAGAGCGTAAAATAAGGTAGTCGTCATGAACCCTTAGGCCTGCCAACATTATTTTCCTGCTGCCATAACTAGACAACATTTTTGATTGTAGTGATGCAGCGCGAACCCTCGAACAAGCCTCGGCGGCTTACATTGTTATTTCCCTGATCCAAGAATAGACTAGAATTAAAAGTATAGAATAGAATTAAAAGTATTCATTGTTTTACGTTATAATCAAGATAAACAGACGCCCAATATCTCAAGGATTCGCAAAACTCACAGATATCTAGTGTTGTGAAAGTCTCTCTACTAACTCTAACGGGAATCCCCCTTGAATCAGGGGTTGCCATCGTCGTTGCCATCTATTTGGAATAAATAAGAAAAAAACGACTCTGCAGTGTTCTTTTTATAAAATTATACGTATTGACTGTTAAATGTAGCAAGGTTTATTTCTTAGATTATAGTAAATAAGTACTCTCTTAGTATTCACAAGTCACAAACCCTTTTGGTATTTCCAATTAAGCGCATTGACTCGATGAATCTCTTAAGGTAATTAGACTTAATTAGAGGTAAGATTTATTGCTGGGCTTAATCTTTTATTTATCAAACTCACCGTAAGTAATTTTCGCCATCCGAGTTCGAATGCTGTCCTTTAGAAATGACGCCATCATTCTCGTGTTCTTTTGTTTCAACGTTTAGATGTTTACGGGTCTGCAGTTGGATGTCGGACCTGTACAAATAAATAAATATTTTCAGGATATATTTTTACACAAAGTTACGTATTTCCTAACTTTGCAAAGCGTACACTATGGGTAATCATCACAACTGGGGTCAAATGGGGTCGTCGTAGTAATACTGTTCAGACAATTTCTTAACAATTTAATAAAATTAACCTATTTCACACATCCTATTTATTTTAAAACTTTGATTAAGCATTTGTACTTATACTTTTAGCGCCTAAGATCTTCGCTTAAATATAGGGCGTACATTTGTACAATGTCTATATGACACGAAAAATTTGGATTAATATTCTAACGAAGAATAAATAGGTATTTATTCCTACTTTACTATAAGCACTTCATTCCCAGAAAATATGCATAAATTATGTAAATTCACAAGTTCGATATAGCAAAATCAAACCAAATTTCGGTAGTGAGTATCATTATGTCGTGATAACTATCAAGCACGAATCACTCACACGTCAAATTAACAAGCAATGTTTATTTTACTAGCATCACTTGAAGGGAAATTGAAGCACATGTAATTTATCCAATTGTTTTACACGAGTCTATGTAAAACAATTGAACAAATTAGGCTATGTTAGATTTACGATTTACGTCGGTTACTTAACAAATGAAAATTATTAAAAGAAAAAACATCCACAGGTTGACTTAAGACACGAAGCAGGAATAAGTCTCGAAACGAAACTGATAGTGTACTTGTGAATTCTGTCAACGTACCAGCAATGTGCTCGTATAAGAGCTACAACGTAACTAGCTTTTAGATGAGCACATCACATAACCTCTGTAGACCTGCAGTTACGGGAAGAAGAGTTTTTAAGGTGCTTTTAATTGAGCAAATCAGCTCTGCAGATGTGGACTTGTAGGATAGAGTCGGAAACACTACGTAGTAGTCTCTCGTTAATATCGTTATGCCCACCTTCTTTCTACGCTGGCAACGCCGTTCCCGAAGTCGTGTTGGTCGGGTTTCACGCGGTGCACCTTCTGACTCATCCTCTGCACCACGCTCTCTATGTCGCGCATCCTCGTGCCGATGGCGTCCACCAGCGCCTGCAGGTTGGACGGCTTCTCGTCTTTCTTCTCTTGGTCGGATCGGACATCGGCCTGATGATAAACGCTCGTCTCCTGGGAAATTTATGTTGCTTGCTATGCCTTAATGCCCATCGAATGTACTAGAATTTACTAGATCGTATTATCTACTTGACCTGTTCGTTCTACATTGGGCAAAAATGTCCATTGAAAATGGACAAATCAACTGCTTACGCGCGTATTCGTATCCGCGAACTTAGCTTGCTAATTTCCCATATCCAATAATTATGCTTTACGGCATTTAACAAGTTCGCATAATTCGATTATATATTTTTTATGTCAAAGTTGCAAAGCGAGCAGGCGGTTCACCTGATGTTAAGTGAAGACCGCCGCCTATGGACATCTACTACACCCGAGGATTCCAGATGCTTGACAACCTATTGAAAATTGGGCTCCGGCTACCTCACTCATCAGACGAAACGCGAAAGTATTATACTTCCACTTCACGCCGGTCTTCTGTGAGGTCGTGGTACTTACCCGGACGAGCATGCCCATTCGTGCAATAGCCGAGGTTTGTATTGTATAAGAAACTCTAAATATATTATACTGTTAGATCTGTATAATGAAAAAATGTTCATCGAGAGATGAAAATTTTTATTTCTTATATATGTATTATTTATTCTTGTCTAGTTTACGATTTTGATTAAAACTTTACCCTAGGCGGCGATTCGGCGTCCATGGAGGGTTCGTGCTCGTTCCACTGGCTCGGTGGTATTTCGGTCCAATCAATTTGACGGGATTTAGACTGCTACAAAATGAATTTCAGATTAATAATAAATATAGAGATATGATACTTTTTTCTTTCGCGCCTTTCTATCTCCTCTTTGTGTATAACGTTACTATAATAAATTCATAGAGATTTGTGAAAGAGATTTGTTAAAAAGGAATTGAAACATAGAAATTTGGTCACTCAATAATACTCAACGACGTAAGTCACCTGTGGTGTCTAATCATGAGAATCTGTGTTGTTCCATTTGTTTGGATCCTTTTATGAGACTCAAGACGTAGATAATTAAGTCAGTTTTGTATATAAGTATTTATAAATACCAGATAACTACTACAGGTTGACACGCGTTAGAACTTTACACTTGTACACTATTTCAAATTTACAAAATGCAGAAAAAAAGCAAGATTTTTTTAAGAGGCTTTTGTCCGACAGTGGACTTTTGAAGGCTGGCATAATGGAGTTAAAAAGAGTAGGTAGGTACTTTTTAAAACAGTAAGACTCCAGTCAAAAGCTAAGGTTTAAGGATAAATAGCAAACAGAGGCGTGGAATTTTTATCGTAGGTAATATTTTCTAAGAGAGAATCCTATGTAATGGCATTATATGTAAAAGGTTATTAAATGTTAACTTCAATGGTTCTGCATACTAAAACAGAGTACGTAGTAACTAAATATTACATACCTTAGACGGGGCACTTTCTGTTACTGCAAAAGCGTTTGCAAAATACTTTTCGTCTGATGATTCCAGTGGCTGGAAAATCAAAATACATACAAAATATTAGTTAACATAGTTACACGGGAAGTATAATGTGTGTCATAAATCAAACTCCGATCAAAATTATACTTTTTCATTAGAGATTATTTTTAACGAAAAAGTACCTTCTCCGTGGTGTGCATGTAGTCATTCTCAACCTCGTTATGCGATTCAGGTGCTTCCTCTTCTACGTCCAGATTTGAAAATGGTCGTGTTGTGGTTTTTTTGACGCGTTTTCTTCTAAAAATGAAAGGTCAATGAAATTTTGTTAATCGTACTTAGGTATTTTCAGTATTAACTTAAATCCAATAAATAAAGCTGCACTTGGAATAGCAACGATAGTGTAAAAATCGCCAAATTTCATCGGAAAAAAATATTGTCTGTTAACCGAGACATTTAATAACAATATTAGTTTTATCTGGATCATAAGAGATTATTAAATGATATTTACAATTTATGGCTTTTTCATTAGAAAATATAAGTTTGTCATAAATTTTAGCCATCATCTCTATTTTAGCTCCGATAACCGCACAATCGTAACCTTAGTCATATACATCTTTAAAATCATAATATAAAGAATATTACCTATTAGTTATTTCAGCATTATTAGATTGCTTTTCATCTTTGTTCGTAGCCAATGCGATCTGAAAATAATTTGTTCAAATTACAATTTCTAAAAAGATTTTTCTTTTATAAACGATGTAATGACAACAATAAACTTGTGGACAAATCTGGGATCTGATGGGGAAACAAAAGTGGACTCCGAATCCGACGGCACAAAATATAGAATTTGATCAATAAAATGGCAATTTACAAAAGAAATAATAACACTGAAAGCAGACTCTATATAGTACTGTTTTAAAAGAAACACAACACCTATCTAATCGCAAAGTTAACTTTATAGCAACCGCTGATTTTTTAAATGTGTGGAAAATTAAGTCGGTCAGTTAACACCTCTTACTGTCAAATCTACATTTGTCTGATGCTGATTGTTAAATTATTAAAAAACTTATACGGATTAGATTCCATTCCCCGATTGCGCTTTAGTGATCTATTTAAATTTGTTGGTTTTCTGTCGATTTCTAATCTACCTGCACTAAGCGCGGCCAGTGGAAATTAATTACACGATAACAACAATGATGGTAAATATTATTTATCCTGACCGTATTCTTTACTTGTGTCTTATAATTTGGGGCTAGCTGCTACTAGACTTAGGTGTCAATTTCAACCTCAGAGGAAGTCAAAATGCACTAACAATGTGCAACGAATGCAAATTGCGAACAATAAATTCTACACTATTGTACTTTTTTGTAACCTTGTTCGTAACGCAAACATTAAATGCGTTTTACAGTCTTCCCGTACCGCTTTGCATCGCAAAAGTTATATAGACTTCGATAATTATGTATAGGTCATTTATATATATATATATATATAGAGTGATTTATATTTATAGAGATATAAAGCCTAGATATATTGTAATCAATCTTTCTTGCGTTCTAGTAGTCTAATTTTGTTTACAATAAAAATAGTATACAACTGTTCGGTCATTTAAAATTAGCATACGCCGACTTAATACGTACTTATATTGTCGTCCTACCAAGTCGTTATTACTTTATAGTTTATTAGGCGAGATGTAACAGTCAAACGACAAACTCACAACGATGTCCGGTTTAGAATTAGCCCGTGGCGGTGAGTCTTTGCAGTCAGGGTTGGCAGTGGTCGCCTTCGACGCTCTCAGCACCTTCTCGGCGCCATCATCTGTGTCCACCGCAAGCTCGTATATGGGTCCCTCGCCGATCCTTACGATTGAAAAACAGAAACATAAAAAAAATGTTTTTGTTAACGGTATCATTTGTATATCGATCAGTACTCCTAGCTCGGATTTACATGAAAAGTAAACATATTAATAACAGTAACTAGTAACATAACGTATACTAATTCGTTAAAGATATCATCCCAAATTATGATCCGTTTACCAAAACGTACATACATGTATTAGAAAAATATTAAAATTTCATAGTAATATGAATAAGGTTGGGAAAATAAAAAGGTTTTGTTGGGTGTGTGTGCAACGTTGGGAAAATTTCGAATATAAGTCTATGAACGAATTATTGCTTACATAAAACATTTCAATTTACGCGTGGATTAGGTTTATTAGATAATATGTAAGTTTAGATAGATTTAATCTTGTAAATATTAGATCAATGTTGTAAATATTGAATGTCATTATAAATTTTATACTTAACATTTACGCATAATTGTGTACTTGTAATCATAATGAAAAAAATACACCAAATGTGGCCAAAAGCATTTACGAATTTAACTAACTTGGGCAAGAAAGTGCTGTCTGTAGGAGGAGGTTTCTTCATCTTGTACATATGACTCCATGGCGCAGCGGGAAGCGTCTCCCAAGGCTGTCCCAAAACTCGGGTCCACACTTCCCCGCGAACCACAACTAAACACCTGGAGATATAAAACACAAACTTTAACCACAATTTAAAGGCCTTAGCACTTTAGCCTTTCACGTAGTAAAAGTTTGATAGAAAAATCTGTTTAAATATCCTCTTGTTTAAATTGTTTAAAGCGAACACATTACCTCAGACGTGTGCAACAATATGGAAACTGCATGTTAGTATCTTCTACTACTTCTTCGCATTCTATCGCTGATTCGGGTGGTTCTACACGCTTGCATCTAAAAAACATCATAATGGAATTAGCTTTAGTTCGTTACCAAAAGTAACAGTACAAAATTGAGAATCGTCGCCGTTTTCTCATTAATTAATAAAAGTACATAGATCATCACATTTATTATAAATATCTTTTTACTTTGCCCATTCTTTGACAGTTCAAACTTTTTTCTGATGTTATATTTTTTACCTTATCCTTTAAACGAGCAATTCTTATATATATATATATATATATATATATATATATATATATATATATATATATATATATATATATATATATATATATATATATATATATATATATATATATATATATATATATATATATATATATATAATCGGAATCTCGGAAATGGCTCCAGCGATTTTCATGAAATTTAGTATGTGCGTAGATTCGGGGGCGAAAAGTCAATCTAGCTAGGTTTCATTTTTAGAAAATGTCCTTTTATCCCTGTTTTCAGGGAATGAAAAATATCATTTTCAAATGTTATAATAGCTCGGTCAGTAATCGGGTGCCCCCGAAACAGAAGGCCGCGGTTCGTGTCACGATCATGTACACACTTATTTTTTTACTTTTTTTCGATTCCAGATCATTTCTTTCTTCATTTTTTATTTTTTGTCCATCTAGATGAGTTTGTTCTTTTTGCCTTTTTTTTTTTCAAAGTTCTTTCTTTTGTGAAAAACACCAGTTCATATTTTCTTATTATTACGTCGGTAAGATCGAAAAATATTATGCATATTTCATTACTCAGTAATTTGTATCTAAATGTAATTTCCAAAATACACGATTTACCAAAAAAAAAACATACCTCCAGGTACTATACTTAAATCACGATAAACGGGGATGTATGGCGCGTTTATATGACGAGACTTTCAAAAGACCCATTTTATTAGTTTCGAATACAAGGAAATAGGGCCATAAAACACTTATTTTTTTTAAATAGCGTGACTAAGAAAATAGAAACCTCCGCCGTGTTGCGGAAAACCAACTTAGTACTAGATTCGTCTACCAAACTCAATTAGGGTACCAATGTAAAAAGCGACAGTGTCGCTGCACAAACATGGACCTCTTAACTCTAATGTGTTTCTCGTATAATTTATACACATTAGGCGTTCCTATCGGTCCGCAACGGTATGCGGTATGGAGAATATTAGCAAATCTAATTGCGACGACAGTTCATAGACATGCTAGGTAGGTCTGCCGGGTGAGCTATGTAATCTCATAAAATACAGACCCAACGGTATAAATGGCCAAATTTCGTCCACCAGGTTGGCAGCGATGCCTTGTGCAGGAATAGGCGTCTGCCCACTCAGTATAGGCAGAGTGTTTCTTCATAGTTCTGGGATCCGTGCAATCTAAAATCAACATAATATGTGAGCCGTCAATATAAATGATCGGTTAAAATAGTTTGTACATAAACTTTTTTATAACAATTTATTATACCGATGATTAAAAATAATGTTTTTGATTGAAATTTTTCCCTTTTTAAACGATTTTTATTTGTTAAAACGCTTTTATTACCGTCTAGAAGTAAATCAGAAGATTTTTTTATCCCCAACCAAGTACTTACATTGATTCTTAAAAGATTCAGTAGCGGGGCCTGCATTTACAGTGACCACAAAACATGCAATAAAATTTATAATATACATCTTTTCAAATAATTAACTGAAATATAGTCACTTAACACGACATTATGTCTATGTGGCGATCGTACTAAAGTCACGAATTGGAAATGAAGCCATTTGTAAAATTACAAATATAGCTTGTAAGCAGTTTGTAAAGGTAAGAAGAAAAGTGTTATGGAATATTTATCGCTGTGCAGTTTTTGAAGTTGTTACTTAAACATTTATGAGACTGTTTGTACGAGTGTGTGTGAATATGGTCGGAATACTTGGCTTTGAATGTTGACACAATGGGCGGTCCCGGACCCATCTGGGTCCCACCTGGTGGGTCCAGGATACCAACCCCCCAAGTTGACTAAAATTATTCGTATGTTATCATTTCAGGCTGTTTTGTTCACTGGACATAGATCTCCTCCACAATGCCTTAAAGTACGATCCTGAGCTACTTGCATCATGTACCACCAACACGCTATCAAATAGTAGGTACCTATCGTTTCCGGTCACCGCAACTACATTCATGTTTGTCAGTTTGTCACACAAGCAGCCATGTGCATGAAAGGGTATTTGTTTCTACGTAAAGATATTCATTTTAGGACTTTATTATCTTTATAGTTCAAGTGGTGATCCTCATAAGCCTCTAATTTACTCACATTATATATGAATAATTTTTATGAGTTAAAAACCAGAGAGTTGGTTTATTCACGAAGAAAGTACTAAAACACAGACTTTTGCGTATATAGGTACCCTTAATATAAATATGATTCAATGTCGACTTTTGGCATTAACATTTCTTTTAAAACGATACTTCATGATTATACTCCATATCAACATGCGATAAAACGCCTTGTTTAACAAACAAATCTGTACGACGTATCCGGCGCTTTTTTGTTACCAGTCTGACCAATAAGACTATGATAGGCCAAAATGCCCTAGGTTCTTTTTTAGGTAAATTAAACATTATTAAGGATTTAATTGTAATTCCACGTAAGTGGTATTGGGATAGATTCATAAATACTAGCGGGCCTTCTAGGTTAAAATAAGACATGCAATCTGCGATACGGGTCCCAGGTAGTCCCAGTGATATGGACTGTTGACTTTTTGGCAATCTTACCACCATTTGTACGGTGCCATTTGCCTCGGTGTACGCACTTGGGATATTTACCAAAATATGTAAGTAATCGTTTTTTAAAAGATAACATATTGCTTATGAAATAATTTGATTGCAAAGTTCATGTTATTTTTTTCTATAAAGAACGTTTTTAGGTCATATAACATTTATAATAAAAATTTGATTGAACTAAGTAGCAACAGAACACGTAGAGGAGTGATAACCCGAACTGAGGAAATTTATGTTATTTTCATAACCATAAAAAAAAACCGTAGAAAATTAATAATTAATTAATTATTTTATTTATTATTTTTGTTACACCAATAAGATGAACATTAATTTTGAACAATTTACGCATAACATGTTAACAAGGATTGGTGAGTGCCATCTCAATTATAGGCAAAAACTACAATATGTTCAAAATAACTTAAAAATATTTTTAAATAAAAAGATAAAAACTAACGAAGTGACTACGATGAAATTTGCAGCATCAATATTAACAAAAAAAGAAATCGTACAAAAGAAGAAAAATAAAGTCTCAAACATTATCAAACATTAAAAATAAAGTCAATTAGGAGCTTCATATACATGATTTTTAAATTTAAAATATTTGTTTGAGTGATCATCAATGTCAAGGCCGTTATTACTGGTTCTCACAACATTTACAAATCCATGAAGTTTAGGGGACCATTATTTCCCAGTCAGATAACAGCTACCGATCGAGCCGAGGTCCGGCCCTCTCGGACACCCTCGAATCGGAATGCTAAACGCGCACTGAGTGACAGCCCAAGCCGAGGTCACTTCACGGGGACCCTTGAGCCTGATCACTCCATGGAGCGTCCGCCAAAGCGCCCTAAGAGCTTGGTGGCCTCCCAAACCGGTGAAATTAATAGCGTGACAGCCCGAGCCGAGGCTCCCCCGGGAGCCCTCGAGCTTAGTCACCATAACGCGTAATAATAATACGCGAGGTTCAGGCTAGGCGCCTCGAGCGCAGGGCCACCTCAAGTCCGTCGGATCTGTAAAGGCCCTAAAGGCCAAAAGTGGCTTATCCAGCCCAAAAAAAAAGGGACCATTAACACTAGAATTAAGTAATGCATTGTATGTAGTCATATATCTGTTAAGAGGTGAATGTAGATCCAAATTTGTTCGCGCTGCCTTACTGAAAATTGGTTTATACTTTTTATGTTTATGTAGATTACATAACATGTAGATTACATTTACAGAAGGTAAAGAGATACTTAATTGCAATAGCAGCTTCGTAGAATCAATATAAGCAGGAACTAGTTGGTATAGGAACATGTCAAGCTGCTTTCTTCGGTGGTAAAGCGATTCTATACGAAAATATTTTAGCCAGTCATCATAACTCGGTAGTGTATTTGCTAAATTACAACTATATGATAAATGCCATAAACATTTTTTGAAACACTCTAACCGCTTAATATACCCGTACTATCTTTTATCTTTACATATCCAGAGCTCACTCGAATTACAGATGCAATTATTTTATGATTAGGACTGCTAAATTTATAAATGCAAGAAATATCGACAAATTCTTTACCTCTCCAACTGGGGCGAAACTTTAAGCCGCGTAAAGAAACTTTAACAGAGGAATATTTTTCCAAAAATAGTTAATTAATTATAAAGTTCTAAGTTTGATTTATGTACTACGTTTTATATTTTTTTTCTTTCATCACTTTCAAATATCATAGGCAGGAAAATTCAAATTGGCTCTATAAACATGTTACAATATTCTTTTAAAATAAGCACTTAATAGCTGTAAGTTTCCCTTATAAAATAAAATAAAATAGCACAGTGCGGGTTACACACGACGATGCAGTAGGACCAGAATGATATTCTTAATGATTAGAATGATAAGAGTTTACCATCCTTTTGGCAACTAAAATGAAATTTGAGAAGCCATTTGACATCTGATTTGTTGACATCTACGATGATCAGTGTTTCAGAAACGGGGCGTAAGTATTATAAATTATCTATGACACTGACTGACAGTACCTATCAAAACGCCTAGATTGATAGGCAACAATCTAAAGCAGTTATAATGATTTTATTACTTTAAGAAAATTCGCATTTATTAAAATGTGACCACTATATTTTATTGCATTATAAGGTTTGAAATTTTTAACACCAACTCCGGGTGAATATTGTGAGCTAAAACTTATAAAGTTCTGCAACTAAATGTGTTAAGAATTATCTAAATTAATTACAATGGAGCCAGAAAAACCCTTTGCTTGCACTATTCCTGACTGTAGGATGACGTTTACAAATGAAGACCATCTTCACGTGCACACGAAGAAGCATGATATGGTACTGCAGCTTGGTTTAGAGCAGAAAGCCGCATTCGTCGGTATATTATAATTTTATAGTTTCCATACCCTGAGACCTGCAATTACATTAACAAAAATTAAAGCCATAAAGACCAATTTTCAATTTACTAACTCATAAACATTGGCATATCACACTCAATATCACTCATCAATATTTTGTTATAATTTCTTATTTTTCTTTCATTAGCCGATCAAACTCCTACACCTACACGATTCATTAGAAACTGTGAAGAGGTTGGATTATTTCAAGATTTGCAAAATGTTAATCCTTTTGATGAAGGCTTCAAGAGGGCAATGGAAACAAAGTGAGTAACTACAATTGTTCAAAACAAGTGTATTCAATAAATATGCATATATAATTATCAATACTGAAATGTATATAACATGTCTTTTTCATTATTCTCTGTATAAATATACCATTGCTGAACTTGAATAGTACTATTAAAATATTCTAAATTACTATTAAAATATTATAATTGTTTATACATTCATATGACACTGTATGGATAATCATATAGCTAAGTATTAGTCTGTGTCATATGTGGAAATCTTAACATTAAAGAACAACTGTCTCATTGCCATTACAACATTGTATTTAAAATATACCTATATTCCTTATTTCAGACATGGCATTCCATCATTGGATGGTGCTAATATTTCTTCAACGTCAGATGATGTCCTTCACACACCCCATTTGGTTTTCCCACTCATTGACTCCGGAGACTGTGCCTTATTTAGCACTACCAACAACCAGAGGAATATTACAATTAGCAGGTAAGATTTATTGCTTATGTTTATGAAATATGACCTCACAGAAGACTGGCGTAAAGTGGAAGTATAATACTTTCACGTTTTGTCTGGTGAGTGAGGTAGCCAGAGCCCAATTTTCAAAAGGTTGTCAATGCATCTGCAAACCCTCGGGTATAGCAGATGTCCATGGGCGGTGGTATTCACTAACTTCAAGTGAACCACCTGCTCGCATGTCAGCTTTGCACATAAAAATATATATATGGAAATACAAATACAAACTGAAACATACAAATACAAATACGGAAATACAAATACAAATACGGGTGAAATTACTAGAGATATATTACATCCTTAGGGAAGACTGGAATTCTTACTCACTATAACCTCCTTAGTGGATGCCATATATACCATATACAGTGTGTCGTTACCATCGCGACAATAAATGAACACACATATAGGGGATAACTTTTTAAAGTTGTATTAAACATTTAAATTCTTTAAACATCAATATTTACAGAGTTATTAAATTTTCCAAAACAAAGAATTTTACAGAAATTTACAGAGTTATTATTTTTTCCAAAACACCCTTACCTATAAAAGCGTAACGTAAAGTTCATTTGCAAAGGTCACAAATCATATGAATGGGTTGAATGAATTTAAAAGAGACAAAACATACTGTTAGAAGGAGAGGATTGTAATACGACGCTGTGCGCGAGTTGTATAGGATGTTACAACTTTTGTTTCTTTTTTACTTAATTAGTTTGTTTGAAAAATATTTTTTTTTAATTATGGATTTTGTTTAACGTTAATATTTTTATTTCGAGCCGTGATAGCTCATTGTCCGGGCGCTCGCCTTTAATTCAATATACTCGAGCAACCTGAGTTCGATGCCCGGTGCCGGCACCAATGAAGTTTTTAACTTTAAGTGCTAACTTATCACGTGCTCCGCGGTGAAAGAAAACATCGTGAGGAAACCTGCATATTTTCGAAATAATAGCAAAAAAAATATATATATTTCGAAAATATGTGAAGTCCGCCAATCCGCAGTGGGGCCGCGTGGTGGACTATGCCCTGATACCCTCTGTATAGAGGAGGCCTTTGCCCAGCAGTGGGACATGTATAGGCTGTTACTTTACTTTTTTTTATTTTTTTTATGATTATTGGCAAATAGCGATAGACGTGTGTTCATTTATTGTCGCGATGGTAACGACACGCTGTATATGGATACTTAGATATTTTGGGACGGGTTGCAAGAATTCTGAAATACACCAATGTGTTTTTGAAATGTTCATAAAGGGAGGCTGCATTGTTGTTTTTTTATTTTCATGAAGCTACCCGGCTACCTCACTCACCAGACATAATGCATATAATACTTTTACTTCATGCCGGTCTTCTGTGAGGTCATGGTACTTACCCGGATGGACCTGCCCATTTGTGCAACAGCAAAGGTTGTTGCATGGTCTTATTACAGTTAAAACTTACAATTTGTACTCTAATGCAAGTACATATTTATAACAATACTAGCTGGCCCGCGCAACTTCGTCTGCGCCAATTCCACTGGGTCCATACGCTTCTACTTTTAGCATAGCGCCATCTATCGGATACTTACTCAATCCGGCCATCAATTTATCTTACACCGCCATCTGTTAAAATCTTATGGGACTCACAGACAGCTCTTTTTTCATCTAATAAACAAATAATTTGCAATAACAAATATTGAGATCAATAATTGAGATAAAAACTACCCTATCGACCAAGTTGGACCAAATTACAAAAGCTTACAAAATTTGATAGAAATTGGTTCAGTAGTTTCGGAGTTTATCGCTAACATACATCGTGACTCGAAATTTTTATTTATATAGATTAAGTAGTAATCACATTTTGATAATGGGACATATAATGTTCTTTTTGTTTTTTAATATACATTTGGAAGTATTACATAAAATCAAAACGCCTTTTTTCTGTACTTATCAAATACTTGTCACTCTGATGACTCACATGACTTTGGCAGAATTTTATTAATATAGGCCATTAATCAAATAAGAAGAGCCTGATGCCTCCTCTACCTCCCTGTAACACGGGGGTGATTTGGGCTCCCATTCTCTTCCTTTCTCTGACCGCCCTTCCTTTTTGTGTCCCTTTACATAAAAGCCAGGGGATTCTTTATCCTTGTTTTATAAGCCGGGGACTACCAGGCAGTTGAACCAGCAACATATGATTGAAAAGTTTGATACCCATCTAATAGGCTTTCAGTACCCCTTTTGCATATATTCTTTTTAAAATATCATAACATTTCACTTCTTTATCGTTTTTCATATTGGAGATATATTACAAAGAAAGATCAATTAGTCAAACTTTTGCAGATCATCCAGCGATGAATCCGGCGCGGTCAAAGAATACGAAACCACGACTATATCGAAGCTTACTAATGAGGTGACCACAATTAGCAGAGTGGTTGGTAAGCAAGATGTATTAGATAGAGTAACAACAACTGACGACGTATCGATAGTAAGACACGAAGAAACGGCTCGTAATAAAGACGGTGTCAACGAAACTTCCGTGTCGTATACTAACAATATTATCAAGATTCATAGTAATGTCGAAATACGGAAAGATGGTAACGTAGTCAATATAGAATAGTTCAAAGAACACACAAGTTCCCGTTACAATGGTATCATATTCAGACTCGGTTATAAAAGATACCGCAAACGTAATCACAAAAGACGTTTTACTTACAGACAGCAATAAGTTACAAGTATCACAGGGAAAAGTTCCGCCCATAATGAGTCAGAGATCGCTTGATTTTGTTGTGGACAGTTTAACATCAGATGCATATCATAATGAATTGCCATTAGATAAAGATAAAGAACAATTACTGAAATCTCTAAAAAGGAATTACGATAATGCTCTAAACAAAAATAACATCCCAATGATAAACAAACCTGCTGACAATAATAATGTTAAAAAAGAAACTATTGATAGCGAATTAAAAAAAGATGTAAAAGAAAATGATTATGAAGTTATTATTAAACTTCCAAATGGAAAACATGTACGTATGAAAGCTGTGGAAGACGAAACAACAGTAGAAAGAACAGTGCAAGAAGATACTAAAGAGAAACTAAAAAAGGTTTTAACGAGCAAAGTGAAAGACAAATCTAACCATCCAAAGAATCCCACCATTCATAGGCTACCCAGTGTACAAAATGCGCAAGTCGTCCAAAATATATTACCAATCACTGCTGGAACACTAATACCCGTAACAATTGTTAGTCCTTCCAATGCAATTCTTCAGACAAATGTTTTGCCCAAAGTTTCCATATTACCAATTAATGCAGTAAAACTGAAAAAATCTGACAATTATAAAGCATTTAAAAGAAAGCCTAGAAAAGATCCCATCGATACAACGAAACCAATAGATATTAGTAATAAACAAGTCAATTTAGCTGTGGACACGACACAAATAACATCACAGGAAAACCGCATTGATACCTTGACCGACGACGACTGTGTTTTAATTGAAAATAATAATATTTCACATACAAGCACTAGACATTCTCCTTCAAAACATTATTTAGAAAGTAGGAGCGCTGCTTCAAGGCGGTACAGGTATACTCGTGTTATATATTTGTGTTATTAATTATCATTTTCGATTGAAACTTAAATTTATAGGGTTTATAAGTTTATAGTGATGATTTCCACTACCAAAGGGTTATCTTGAAAGAAAGTCACACGTTTTAGGTATTATCTCATCTTTAGCTGAAACTTCTATTCCAAAAAATAAATTGAGGCTCAGCACTTAATAAGCCTCAATTTATTCGGAATAGAAGTTTGAGCTGAGTAAGTGCTGTCGCGTAGACCGATAATATAACATTTCTTTATTTTTAGGGAGCGTTTAAAAGAAACTATGAGACGACAAAGTGAAGAGAACAGACAATTAAGAGAGGACAACAAAAGACTGACGGCAGAGAAAGCAGAGTTGAAACTTATTATTACAGAGCACCTTAAGAAGTGCCCTATTGGAGATGACTTACGTAAGTAAATTGGGATTTTCCGCAAGTGTTATGAAATGAATACAATTATAAAATAGACTTTGTTTTCTTTGTTATTTTATCTATATTTAATATTATTAGTACTGGTTCAAGAAGACCCGTTAGACCAGGGCTGAAGCATTTAAAAATGGTAAAAAGTGAAAAATGCATTAGAAAAGGTTACATTAGCAAATGCATTAAAAACACTCCGAACTAAGATCGCCCGTAATTTATTTTTCCTTTAATTTTTATCATATTCCCCTCCTTTTCCAATGAGTTTCATATGACTACTATTTTTTTTATTACATTATCTACCCTGGTCTACGTGTTAAAAACCCTCTGAAAAATTCATTCGGCTTGCATGTTTTCCAATTGATAACCGATTTACATACTAAAGGAAGAAACTTGGTTTAGTTTTTTACTTGCTCCTTTATCGTGAATAACGCCATACACTTTATGTATGATGTTCATACTTCAGATAGTCTGTTTAATATTCATCTTAGATTTGTTATTCATTTATTTCATTTTAGTCAGATTAGACAGTCAGTCATTTTAGACAGATTCAGTTTATTTTAGTCAGATTTATATTCGCATCGTTCAACAAATTTAATCGCTTCCTAGCTTATTGAATAGGTACATAATTTGTATTTTTTTTGTTACAGGAGATATACAAGAGAGATTAAAGAGAGCTACTACAGGGTTATAGCAGTAAATGTTTAATTTTAAAACAATTATTTCTATTTATTAACAGTTCTTTTAATTTTATCTGTGATTTTAGTGACATATCGTTTTTATTACTGATAAGAAAATTGTATCTTTGGATTCGATACTAAACTGGTAGGCCTATTTAGGGCGAAATAGGATAATGGGAATCAGATAAGGAAGAATTGAAATAAAAAAGAAGTCTATAACAATTATTGTACATATGTATTGGTATTTGACTCACCTCAGTGAACAAATAACGTAACCTAATCACACCCATAATCGCTTGAGGTTGATTCTATTCAATAAAATCTGGGCGCGTCCACATCTGACAGAAAAGTACAGGGCCAGATTTAGAGGCCTCGGGGCAACAAAGGAATGGAGGCCCCTTGGGCCCAAATTATTTACTATTGATTTCTGTTAATATTTAATGTAATCATGTGTGTACAAAGTACTGTAGGTAAAGGTAAAACGCGAAAAAAAATTAAAGGTAAAGTTGTTTGACTGAATTTGATTATTTTTTTTCCGAAGTTCTTGTGGGGTCCCCTATTTTGTGGAGGCCCCGGGGCTGTTGCCCCGGTTGCCCTCCCCTAAATCCGGCCCTGGAAACGTACTGTACGACATCTCCTCGTCCATATTGAGACTCATTTGTTTTATAATATACTATTCGATCACTACAAATGTTGCTGAAAAATTGTTTTAAAAAAAGCCCAGTGACACAATAAACTTTTTAATAATTGTGTTGAAATTAATTTAAAAATGCACGCATCTTCTGCTGTTACACGAAAGGACAGGCTCATCTAGGGAATTACCACGGCCTCACAAAAGAACAGCGTAAAAAAGAAGTGTTGTACTTTCGCGTTTCTTCGGGTGAATGGGGTAACCGGGAACCGCTATTTTAAAAGTCCTCGTGTTTTGTTGATGTCCATGGGCGGTGGTACTCTCTTGGTATCGGGTGAAGTATCTATCGAGCTGTGCACGAACCTTTCATAGATCTACTGCCTGCACCCCGACGACATCTTGGAGAAATCCGAGGGTTTTCCTTTTTCCTGTAAAATACTATCCATTAACAGCACTGGCCAACTACTATCGTAAATAATACCGAGCCTGTCGGCTAATTTAACGCTGTCACCGAGTTTTCTATGAATTAACTTCACACAGACACAACCTTGTCAAAAAGCCGGGCAAGTGCGAGTTGGATTCGCGCAAGCAGTGTTCCATACCTTTATCTATAAAAACAGAAAAAAAAACATTTCTGTTGTAATGGGAGGCCCTTTTATATCTTTTTTTATTCTGTTTTTTAATATTTGTTGATAAAGTTGCAACAGAAATACATCATCTGTAAAAATTTCAACTGTCTATCACAGCTCATGAGATACAGCCTGGTGTCAGACGGACAGACAGACAGCAGTCTTAGTAATAGGGATGAGACCCTTATCCTTTGGTTAGGTACGGAACCCTAAGAAACCTGCTCCTAAATATAAATTATCTCACATACGCTCTTGCAATCTGGTGCATCGCAAATCGTCGTACCCTTGACCGCTCCAGGTTTCAAAAGGATTGACCCACCAGGGTTATGGCCTAGGGCGGCCTTCTATTTCCAGTTATTTGGGGACTGGAGGGTAGGAGCAGGGAGGGGTTATATGTTAACATAACGTCTTGCCATAAAAATCCTTAGAAAGTATACCATGCCAAGTACTTCTGCCGTTAGTTCCGCTACAACTTTGTAAAATGCGTATCCATGTTATTTAAATAAACTAATAAATACTTGCATCGCCATAAAATACGGCGGCCCTAAACCAGCCCGATGTGCTGATGGACCGAAATCCGAACAGAGAAACAAAATGTCTATGTATTAAAAGTTGTTTTCTTATTACTGTCGTAATTTAAACAATTTAGCTGAATAATGTAAATCCAAATTGGCTTTAAGTTTTAGTAAGTAATAGCGACCAGCCGCGACTTTGTACGGGTACAATATAGTATATAAACCTTCCTGTTGAATCGCTATCTAGTAAAAACAACCGCAATCCGTTAAAATCAAGATCCGTTGCGTAGTTTTAAAGATCTAAGCATACATACGGACAGACAGACATCGGGACGACTTTGTTTCATACTATGTAGTGAAGATGTATCGATATATATTTAACAAAGCGCTGTGGATTTTGTTTCAAAATTAAAAAAAATGCTAATTTTAGCGAAATTATGTTTACTTTGACAGACAGGTTACTTTGTAGCGGGTACTGTGAAAAATAAGGAACAGGTGAAATGAGACAAGATTCATAACAATATCTCTATAATTATGGCACTTTTATACTTGAAACAAAAAATATCAAGCTATCTCAACTATTCAGCGAGTAGGTAGTCAAAGGTACACTAGTAACTGTGGTTATATGCGAGAAAATAATATATCGCTTTAAAGTTCAACAACAACAAATGGTAAACAGTTTGTATTGCTCATTTTTATTGTCAGCAAATTAGCATTTTAATTGTTGGAAACCGCCAGCTGAGAAATTGCCATAAAATTTATTATGTAGACATTTCAAATTACCAAATTACAGAAGTTTATTTCGTTGATTTTTACAATTCACATGATTATTTAAAATATAATTAAGACACAATGTTCATGACGAACAAAAAATAACAGAAGATCATAAGAGTTTATGGAAGTCAAATTTTTATTTCCTTGAATATAATCATTAAAGTATATTAGAATCTTGAAATATAATCAGTAAATATTTTTTTCCTTTTAACTACAATAACAAACTTATTAAAATAATAACACCATTTTCTTAACAATTAAAATAACTCTTACATATTTTTATCTACTTTAATTACTAAACTAAATACTTCTCATTAATTAACATAAATAATTAACAACAAATTTAAAATTCATAGCAGGTCATGTCCACTGACATTTATTATACTAGCTATTTAACAAAACCAACTAAGACGTCAGTTCCATTAGATAGCAAAAGTAACGTTACACCTTTCATAATAATTAAAATCCTTGACAAAACCAACCAAATAACGGCACAAAATGGCATACCTAAATAAAAGTCAACTAGACGTCTTGGAGGATATAATGGATTTAATATAGATAGATATCGTAAGACCGTATTTTACGTCTTTTTCATATGCATCCATATTACTTTTACTACTCAACTTATTATTTTCACATTTCGCTTTCTTGAAATTGGCGAAATTTTAAATGTTGGGACGTAAAAACATCTTAGCTTCTATAATAACGTTAGTATAATATTAGTCAGTGTTCATGTCACATAAGGGACTATTACTATCGCACCGTTTGCCTTTTAAACCTAGGTTTCATTTATAAATATTTAAATAATTAAATAATTGAACAGGTTACATAATAATATAAACAAGACATTTGTACATCATCCATCAGTTTTAAACTGCATTATGTCTAACTAATTCTATTAAGTGATATTTGGCCTCGTCCCCGAACATTTTAATTTAAAACTGATTATATAGATTTTTATTCCGTACAATCAGTTGTATATTAAACGTTCACAAAGTATGAGGTTTGACCGAAACAAATACGTAAAGATCCACGTAATAAGACCGCTAAACGCACGTTAAACCGGTGTAAACAGGTACATTGGTTAACGTAAGTTTAGCCGTCTTATTATTACGTAAATAATGTCTCACGAAAATTTTACGTAAAGATCCAATCAATAATTAAAAATTTGATGACTATCTGTATTTTCGAGGCGAAATAAAATGTTAATAGACAACAGTTAATGCAGAAATATTTTAATAAAAATCTTAAACATATTTTGTTATTGTAACATAATTGATTATTTGCACGTAACCGTATAACTAAAGTTATTCTAGGTTATTGCGAAGAGTGGAAGAAGACAATTAGAATACACATATATAGTATTAAATACATACTTAAGTCCATAGTCGAATTGGGTATACAAATTTAAGGTGATAAAGTTATGTAATCTGGACCACGCATGACATGTAGAAAAATTCACAGACAGACCACATAGTTTACCTGCCATTTACCTTTAGGCCATTAAATTAGCCACGAACGATTACATCATCACTAAATCTTATTTGAGTTTCCAAAAAAGTATGCAATAACGGGAAATTGTAATGTTGCCATGTTTCAATTACACCGATTTTTTTTATGGAAATACTTAACATGGACAACATTTCAAACGGGACATTTTGGAGTCCCCTATTCGGCGAAATTCTTTAATTATTTTAATGACCTAAAGGTGTAATTGTCCGTTGTTATTTTAATGATAGGTACCTGACGGAATGTCGACTCAACTGGTGGTTAAAATTTTGCAATTCATTCCGTTAAGCGTTCGGCTTGTTAGTAAGAGTAAAGAAGGTGCAAGAAGTTAATAAATAACTTTTGGATAAAACGATTTGTATCTTATGAATGAAATATCGAAACCTCACAAACATAAACGTGTGTAGAAAAAGCCCATTATTTTTTTTATATAATTATCACTAGTCCTTAATGTTATGTATCGTACGCAATTTTAAATTCACTAACCATTAATGAATCGTTTTATCCAAAACGTTAATATTTAAATAACAGTTACATGCTCAATGATTTTAGGTTGCCATCGACACTAAATGAAAACTTCAAATGAATTTATTCAAATTATAGTAATAGAAATACATATATTTAAAATTATAGAACCCTAAACGTCTGTCTTCGCTGTAATATAACCATGTTTTCGTCAGCCAATGAAATAAAATTATTTTTATAAAAATATATTGTTGGATGGCAACCGTAGCTAGGGTCCAAACGCCATCGCCTCCCAAAATATTACGGAGCCCATAGCTGTGCAGATATGTAAAAAATTACTAATTTACCCAATACCAGAACAACTATATCCTTTCTATGGGTGATATGTAATTAGAGAAGTGAAGGAAGAAATTTATTGTTACTTAGTTATAAATATGTTGAAACATATTTTTATAATAAAAATAAATGAAATAAACAAATTTGGTTTCTGGACATATTCTTTTATCGCAAAAAACGTTTGAAACGTACATAAAATCCCACATTAATTAAAATTTTCTTTTAGAAATATAAATAAATCGCTTAATGGATTGTACAATACATTAATTTTTCAAATATTAAACTACAACTGATTATTATCTATTGTTTAATATATAATAATCAGTTGTATTGATTAGACAAACATAAAAATGCTACAATAAGAATTTATTTAAAAATATATTTCAACGCACAATATAACTTTGACAATAGTACTAAATAGATTAAAATTAAAGCAATCAGACAAAAGATATTTATTCTTAAACTATGAATTATAACAGCATTTCTTATAAAGTTCTACTTTAAATGTAACAAATTGAAGTTAGCTGTTTCAAATAAGACGAAATCACATTTCATTCGTTGACAGCTATCTCGAATGCGACGTCATTTTTATTGCATTCTGCAATTCCTTGATGTTTTAAAAAGCTGGGTGACAGGCCCGTTTAAAGTGCAGTGTCTCATGCTAGATCTAAATAAGAATTCACAAAGATGGATTCCGTTTCATAAAAAATTACATGCAATGGATGAACGTCGTGAACATATTATACATACTCATATTTTAAAGTAACTTAATGACTATGAAATGTTTATTTATATACCTCAACGAGGAATATATTGAAATTATTCTCATTAAGAGATGTAGGTGCATTTAAAATATAGCGAAGAGCTGTGTTACACGGAAATGGAGTCAATTTATAAAGTCAATTCAAGAACTAATACCTATGTAACACGTTACTAAAACTCAGTTCTTTAGCCGTAAAGAAATTTATGTGAAATAATTCAAAGATGGTTGGCGTTGCCATTTAATGTTTAACGTTGTTAACTTTATATCCACAACTAAAAGAAATAATCTTTATAACTACATTTGCAGATAAGTGAAACCAGTACATATGCGTCTAATCCAATCTTTATTCTTAGTTGGCTATTAAAAGAAGTTCAAGAAATATTACATTTAATGAATTCATCTTACTTGTACTATGATTTCTCTTCATAATATTTAAGTTTGTCTAATGAAATACGAGTTGCGTTATATTACATTTAGAAATCGAAGGTCACAATACGTAATTATTGATTATTCACGCTACGATTTTTTTCTAACTACGCATCATCTTTGGTTTATTGCACTTTCCTATATACAGCGTGTCGTTACAACCCCGACAATAAATGAACACACGTCTAACACTACTTGCCAATAATCATAAAAAAATATAAACGTTAAAAAATCCATAATTAAAAAAAAATGTTTAAACAATCTAATTAAGTAAAAAAGAAACAAAATCCTAGTTATACAACTACAACTGTCTGATTCATATATTCAGAGACTTTTTCATTAGTTGCCACAGCGTCGCATTACAAGCCTCTCCTTCTAAAAGTATGTATTGTCTTTTAAACCCATTCATATGCTTTGTGACCTTTACTAATGAACTTTACGTTCCAGTTTTATACGTTAGGCTGTTCTAAAATTGTTTGTTTTAGAAAATTAATAACTTACCAAGTTATTAATTAATCTTGAGGTTTAAAGAATGCAAAGGTTTAACACAATTTTAAAAAGTTATCCTCTATATGTGTGTTCATTTATTGTCGCGGTTGTAAAGACACGCTGTATAAATTTTATAAATAATTTTGTATTTGCTTCTTTCCTAACCATATTTATTCAAAATAAATAATAATATCAACAGAATATACTTCCGTGCTTTATTTGCCCCTTTGACCGTAATTTTTAAATATTATAATATATAACTAATTTTTAAATATACCTAATAAATATACTGTATATGCTTAGATCTTCATCATCATCATTTCAGCCTGTTAATGTGCGACAATTCAAAAATAAATAAATATTTAAGTTCACCAATATATATCTATCTATATATATTTATATATATAATTAATATGCTAGCGTTAAGTTTTAATAAAAAGCTGAAATGTTTAATATCAAACCGTAATCTATATCATTACCATAATAGTTTTATAATTATTTGGTGTTCATATTCCTAAATTTAAAACGATTAAATTTAAGAGGTCACGCCACGCATTTCATTAACCCTAACTTTTGTTCTCCTTATTTTAATTCACCCGTAACCTAAAAACTGCACTTTCGATATCGTAACGTCTAAAAATATTGCTTATAAGCATAACAAAGGGACCGTATTTTTCATAATTTTTTTAACATAGCATTAATTAATATAATCTATAAATGTTCGTTTTGTCTGTTGGTTTTACTAACGTCTAGGTTAAGGCATTTCGTTTTCTCATTACAGTTTCAACATCACTAATTAAATATTTAGATATAAACCCAAAAATTCAAAAGAAAAGATATACTTTGTGACAATGCAAAAGGAAACGAAAAATCAAAAATACAAGGTCTATGTTTACTTTAATGGGACCACAGTTGTAAACAATTGCACGCATTATTTATTTTAGAAGACAATTTCAACATCAGGTCGCTGACTCGCTGTTTTATAATAAATGGAAGATAATATTAAAATGCACCGCTCCCCGATAACCTTTCGAGAAGAGTACTTTCAAGGCATTGGATATAACGTAATTGTATATTCTCGCATCTTAGTCTTAGTGGACAAAGATACCTCCAAGCGTCACTGATTTATAGCCTTTCTGGATATAGAAATTATAAAGAAAATATTTCGGGAGTGCGAGAAAGACATCAGCATGTTAAGAAAATTCTTTTATATTTTATTCTGCAGTATTACATCGACGTACGGAGTATGCTACGTAACTTTTGGCAGTATAGAATTGGAGTCCTCGAGTGTCTAGCTGTACTAGATACATAAACCAGTCTTTCCAAATTTTGCTGCAACCATAACCTATTTTAGTAACACATACTATAAAGATACTGGTTTCTCTTATAAGTCACAATTGTCATAAAATATTTAATTTTTTGCATTTTTTTCTTTAAAAACGTACGTTACATTTTATATATAGTTCTACTGATATAACTAATCTCATAACTAGATATTAATTTGTCTTTCTGTAAGCGTATGTAATATCAACGCACGTAGGTACTAGTATCCACTTTGTATGCTTTCGATATGCCCCGCGAATTTATTGAATATATTTTCCCTAATGATCTACAATAAACATCAATGAATAAACAATATCACAATTTTCTTAAAATTAATCAGAATAAATAAAAAAAACATATATTTCAAACATTACTTTCTAAATAATGTGCCAAGTTGGGTCTGCATTGTTCCTTTAACTTATATGGCACCTATTTGGAAAACAAATTAATTCCATTATAATTGATAAGAGAAGACTTGTCTGTAACCAAATACTAGGTTTTAATATTAAAATACCAAAGGAAAACGCTCCGATCCTCGACCGGTGGACTCTCGCTTGTAAACTAACTTCTAGATTAATTATTCTTTCTATATACGGCAGTTCTCGCTAGTTTCTTCACCGTGTTTCTGCGTATTTTCCCTATCTAAAAAGTGCCCGATGCCTAAACGTTAAAGTGTATCTATGAGCAATTTTCTTTAAGTCTATTTCGGAATAGAAAATAACTAGTCAAACGTATCCTTAAGTCGTTTCGGTTTTCGATATTAATAAATCAACGTGTCATTATTCAAAAATACGGCATTTATCATTTCACGTAACCGCACTTTTATTTACAAGCTAAACAAAGTTCAATTTAATTATTTTCATCTAGCTAATATCTAGTATGTTCTCAATCATTCAAATAAGCGGTGTTTTTTTTAACTTTTATATTTAGGGCAAATTTTGTAAATCACGATCATTTACTTAGATGAATAAAAATTCAAGCGATTAGTTTTCACACTCAAATCTTTGTTAGAATATGATTAAGTCTATTATAATTCACCTTATCTAAAGCATAATCGAAACGCATTTAGCTCAAAGATTCGAAAACGGTGCTTATTCAAATATTTCTCGTGAACTTTTAGAAAGATCAAAACAAATCGAGTTTTATTTTTCTTTCGTAAAGAATTCGGCGCCATTAAAACACTTCATTGTTGAAGGAATCGATAAATTTTGTTCTATTGGCGGTCAATAGTACATCGCAAGAGTTTGCCTTAGTGCTGACGATGTACACCAAGTAACATTAATCTAAGTAACACTATGAAGGTAGGAGCGTTTACGAGAGAACTCTTCACAACCTGTATATATACAATGAATGACCGGTCCACTCGTCCTGGCTCGTACCTTAGCCACGTAGCTGAATCATACTGATCCCACATAACTGTAGTAACAACCGAACCGCACTGTCATCGTTTTGATCTTACCGAAAACTCCCGCTTAGCCCAAAAATGCGCACGTAAGTTCAGTTTAAACCTGTGAAAACTAAGCACTTCAATGCTAAAATCTACATCTACAATTGGACGAAGAATGTATTTAAATCTAGGCTAGGGCAGCGCCTTGTTGGTTCGGTCGAACGATTCGCGATCGCGAAACGACAACGATATTCGGCGTCACAACATTAGTCAACCGTAATCGGCGGCTATTCCGAGTCGATCATTATGTGACACATCTGCTATCATATCACGATGCGTGATAACACGCGCGCGTTATTCCGAACTGTCCTCGTGCATTACGACTGCGAACGAGTCGTTTTGAGGTCGCTCGTCAACAATGGTGCGCGTCGCAAATCGATCGGGGAGACCAACGGGCCATCACTAACTTCCTACTTCACCTGCAACATGCACATGCTAGCAACGTTAGTGCCGCTATCAGCGCCAGTGTGATGTCGACAGTCGGTGCCGCATTGCACATGTCCTCCTCGCAGAAACACATGTGACCAGTGCCTGTACTTTCCATCATACAAACGTGGTCCACCATGAACAGATTTATTTGCAGCTGCGAGGTGCACGTCCGCCTGACGACCTCGTACGCTGAAATCGAAGGAAAGCGACGTTTATATTTCGTTTTGTTAAGGTGTAGAGGGTTTATCAGGACCGCTGGATACTTCATCACTACATAGTATAAAACAAAGCTGTCCCGCTGTCTGTCTGTCCCTGTATATACTTAGATCTTTAAAACTATGCAACGGATTTATATGCGGTTTTCCTTAATAGATAGAGTGATTTGAAGAAGGTTTATATGTATAATTCATGCATAATATAGTAGAGAAACACACTCAGTTTTGAACCCGTGCGAAAAAACAAAGTTTAAAAATATAACGGTCGCACTTAGAGACGCACAAAAAGCACAAGGCACCCATCTTCCCGTTCTCATCATTCCCGTTATGGAAAAAATATTTCGAACGTTTTAACATGTAATATGCTGACAAAATTTAAAAATTGAAACGATCTAATAAACAAATAGACATTGAAGTATATTGTTTTTATTTTCATAGATCCATTTAACGTAATATTTGTATGTGGCAGAGCCACACGATTGGGCAAACTTGCCCTTGAATACATTTTATTTATTTGTACTACTACATTCCTTCTAATGAGGTAACCAGGGCCCCCTTATACCAGTAGGTAACGCGTCAGCAACTCCACAGATGCTGTAGTTGTCCATGGGCGGTAGTAATAAATTACCATCAGATAAACCGCCTGCTCGCTAAACACTTTTACACATAAAAAATTAGAGGTTTCCTTTAATGTTTAACGAGTACGAAATAAATCATGGCTTAGCTACAAAAAAGATGTTAGTTACCACAAAGCAACAATGACTTAAAAATGTCGATAAAAAAAAATTTCACTAGGTAGTCCTTTTCAATTAGAAGTCACGTATGAGTTAACTTTTACACTTCTAAAGTTCTTCTTCTTTTTATTAATGGCCTGTACCTGTAATAGCTTATCGCTTTCAATTCAATACACTCGAGCAACCTGTTTTTTTTATAAAAAAAGGAGGCAAACGAGCAAGCGCTCTTACCTGTTGGTAAGAGATCACCGCCGTCCATGGACACTTGGTGAAGGAAAAGATCGTAAGGAAACCTGAATATTTTTGAAATAAGAAAAATATTTCAAACACATCCGAATTCTACCAATCCGCAGTGTGGTCGCCTGGTGGACTATGCCCTAATTCCCTCAGCACAGCAGTGGGACTGATATAGGCTGTTTTACTTTTTTCAAACGTGCTCCTAAAAACAATGCACAAACGGTTATAAGTGAAACTGTGATACTCACGACTTTTCGAATATCGCACCATCTTGACGCAGCAGCCCTTGCAAGTCTGCAATGGCGGCTGGTCCCTCGGCAGGGCGGTATAGTTGAAGGGATCCTTGCACCGGAAATCCGTCCAGCTATCGCACTCGTAGCAATATATCGTGCGGGCTGCGGAAAGGGCAAACTCATGTAGTTATTGCATTATTGTTAGAGTCCGACATTTCGTGAAGATAAAAGTTGTGTGCTCAATTAGTGATGCATTTCAAAGCAGCGCTATTGATTATGTACCCTTGATAATGTATGACGTGGAAAGACATTATAAATGAAAATAATGCAATCATTGTTTTTATTACTTTGAATCATTTTGTAGCCGCCGTATCTTTTTCGAAAAGTTTTTTCTTTGACTATCATTAATATCGACAATTTTGATATACATTTGACTATATTTACAATCATCACTGCGGTATACACATTTTATTTTAATGATGTCTTATAATGATTTATTATCGTTACTGTACATCAAAGTAAAATTGTAAATACATCTCATCTTAATCTGCCAAAAAATGCTAAGAATCTAGCTACTTGGCATTTATGTAACCTTAAAAATAAATTTTCAGGTTTTATTATAAACAAACCTATCAGTACGACGTTTCGACAGTAAAATAATCTTACTAACAAGATTATTACTTAGGAAGCTTAAGTAAGACTTTTCCAGTGTGTTGTTCCGGGAAAAATTCTTTCTGAGAAAACTAATGAAAAGATGTCTTAGAAAATTTTGTCGTACAATATAAAATGCTTATAAGACTTGAAGCCTATTTGCGAGCATAATGCAGGCTTCAGTCATACCTACAATAATGCGATTCGCTATTGCGTCATAATTTACCTTGTAGTAGAGAATAATGTTGAAGCAATGCCAACTTGCATAATAAAAAGAAAGCAAATATAATTTGCATTTTTATTTATAGAAAAAAATATTAAATATATGAATACGAAAATCATACCTATTCAATAATTGTAATGATCCGAATTAACCTCGTAGTTATAACATTATCATGAATTATTAGGTACACTGAAACCTAGACCTTAATAACAAAACACTGCTCTCCAATTTCTATGTGTTTATTTAAATAATTTTGTTCCAACGTCATTCTTCTTTATCTTTTATCTGAATTTTGCGATTAGTATAGACATTTTATACCGTACATAGAAAAAAACCAGGGAAATCTAAAAAGTACCACGATTTGCAAAACTATTACTAATCCGTTTTAATCTGTTTGAATAACTTACCTTTCCATTTTAATTGAATGCACGGCCCAGTTTACATCGTGCAGCTAAAAGCCTACACGAAACGAAAAAAACGGGCGGTCTGTTTATGCCTCTTTTTTTTGTTCCCTTTATTGCCATCGACGTATTCACATGAAGCCTATGCGCTATATCTAAACGAAAAAAGCTCACACACAAAGCAACATTTAGTGAGACAGTTATAATTAAAAACGAGGCCTTCTATTTCTGCACCATTATATACAGGGTGTTACAAAACTACCCGTAAAACCGAGAGAAGGTTAAATGAAGCCTTATAACGAGTCCATTCACAATATTTAAGAATCGTAGTAACGCTGTATAAAAAAATATTTTCACTAATGTCAAAACTCCCATTTCAGTAAAATTAAAGAGTAAACTACGCAGAATGTACCTTTATATTTTACGGGTCATTTTGTAACACGTTATATAAAATATATTAAGGTGCATTCGGCTAATTCCGTAAATCGGGATATTCTGATAATCACAATTTTTATTATGAAATACGGCAATAATTTTGCTCTAGCAACGTTCACCTAGCCGCCATCCTAATACGCTTCGCCACTTCAGTTGATTCAGGTAGCTGTGAGCGAGTGCATGTGTTCAACGCAACATTTCTATGATTGAGAGCAATTTTCCGCCTTTTTAGCATTATCAGAATTACCCGAACATTCGTAATAAAAGAACCTAGAAAGTTATTTAATTAATTGTTTTTATTACGATAAATTTATATTTTTATGCACTTCTTATGCAGGTTTTGAAAGCTCTATCTCCACTTATTTTGCTTTTTTCGGGATTAGCCGAATAGAGTAAATCCGAATTATGGATAATTCGGATAATTCGGATAATTATGGATAATTCGGATTTACCCGATAGTGATTTTGTCTAAGAAAAGTCAGTGGTTCTAAATATTTTAATTCTGGTTTGTTTAAATGGATTAGTTTATTTTCAAATTGGTGAGTCTGAGTGACTATTTTCGGCTTCATGATTTTTGAATATGGCCAATTCTTTGAGAATTCACGTTTATTGCGGCCTTAAGGGCTATTCATTCACAATATTTATGTCATTAGATTCGTCGGTAGAATGGTAGAGAATTAGGTATTTTTTTACATATTTTGTTCTACTTTTTTTGGCATAAATTCTTGCTAATTACACTAATAACCTAAAGTTTTAAACATGTTTTAAATTAATTATTCATAATTATAGATAAATTTACAAGATTACATTATCAAAAATATGACTCGAATTGTCTGTAGTTTGCAGAAAGAGCACACTATGTGTATTTTTAAGTTAATGTTTCGAACTGGGTGACAATTTTTTTTTAATTCTTTTTAGTTATATTTATTTTGCCACTCAGAACTCAATTATGCTTTGAATCATTTATGTTGGATCACAATAATTCCATTATTTTACTTTAAATAAAACTTTGATACTTCTTAGTTTTTCACTTTATTTCACATACTTTATCATTTACCATGATCCCTAAAGTTTGGGAACCGTAGACCGAACTTGCACTAAATATCGCGTAATTCCGAAATATAAATGTCACATGAGTATGTTTAAGCTACTCAGGGGATAGTAGGGAACAATATATTTTGCAAGGGTAAATGAGGACGAAAAAGAAATATGTATCTTTTGTTACAGCTCAGTAAAATTCAGTTTTAAATATCATTCAGAATTACCCTAGCATACTTCGGAGTTGCACTTACACAACAAAAAAAGAATCTAATTTTGAAATAGTTTTATTGTAAAATACTGAGGATATTAATAATAGTCATTGGCATAATGGTTTAAGATGTATATTCAAGTTAACTATGCGACCTTAGTTGATAGCATTAACTACACCAATTCTGACTGGTAAACGAAAATTCTAACATACCGTCAACTATTCTCAAATCGTTTCGTAAATACCCGAATGCACCTTAAATGTGTTCCGGTTCATGCTTGGGCTACAAATGTAGCAATACCAATACACATTTTAACTGTTTTAACGCTGTTGTAGATCGAAATTCGTTAATAAAACTTTAAGAACAATGTCGCTCATAAATTTTTGTCTGACAAACCGATAGGTGTAAAGGCCCATTTACACGGTGCAAGTTTCTTACCTATTGTATACAATTAAATTGAAGCAATAAATGAGTTGCATGGTCTAAACAACAAATGGTCTAACAAATTATTGCGCGCAATTTACTGCATTCAATTTTTGCTCTTGTATGTACAAGAAAATGGCATCGTGTAAATGGGCCTTTATTGTTTATAGTGAAACAAGAACGAAAGCGGTGAAGCGCTTTGAATAATCGCAAATAGTAGCGAAGCACAAAAAGCTTTAGTTTTGTAAAATGCCTTGCTTATTCAAGCCGATGTAACGTTGTAAACATGATGGGATTTTTGTCATTCTAAAATACCTAAATTGATACGAAGATCTGTTAGTATTTAAATAAACAATAATGACAAATCGGATAGTGTATTCAATATTAATAATTTAAAAAACAATGTTTTTAATTCTTTGTGTTGTCAAATACAACTCGTTATTTAGTAACAAGTGAAAACTTGTAGAAAAATGGACGAAGTTTTTCGCCTCGGTGAGGATTTACAACTGCGTACTCCAGGTTTATTTTTTTATTTCTTCTTAAAAAACATTACCCTCACTTTAGGATAACATTATTCTGTGTTGTAAGGACGTTTTACAAACATAAATTTCACGTGGACAAACACCCAGATGCGAAACAACTAACTGTGAGTCGCACAAATAGTTGCCCCGTGTGGGAATCAAACCCACAACCCCCGACACCGAAGCCAATACCCTTGGCAACTGTGCCACGGAGTCATCTTAAGAATACGTACTTTAGAGAAAACGACCACTTTTTCAAATGACATTTTACATTGAAGTACATACTTGAAAAACTATAGATGTCGCCTTTGACATTAAAATTTAAATGATATTAATTTTCTCTGAGTGAAAGCGTTAGTATGTTACCGGGATATTTCAGAACGACCTCCCAAAAAGAAAAATTGGCATTGTATTAAGTATTCAGTAGGGTTTTAATGTAGTTTGTGCAAAATTTGGTGTAAATATTACTAACCTGAGTAAGGGACGTCATCAACACACATACACGCACACTCAGACGTAAATATAAAATTGTATTTTACAGAAGCACACACGTATAACTACAAGTTCATAAGGTGTTCGATAAGATTATGAGTTTTGTAAATACATTGAAATAAAGAAATGATACTATCAAGAGCAATGTTATTAGATATATATTTACGAATAGTATAAAAATAACCAAAAAAAAATAAAAAAACAACGTATAATTCAACTGAAATGTTTAAAAGCACTCTAAAAAAATGTTTTAATCAGCATATTTTGTTTTGTGTACCAGTTAGTGAACAAAATATGAGATTAAACTAAAGAAAAGCTTTGGGCCTTACCAAATTTTGTTTTACAATTCATTTAAAAATCAACTTGGGAGCTTTTAAATATCTAAGCAATTTCATAATAGGAAAAAAGATTTTGTTTGTTTTGAAATAAGTACTAATAATTTCGTCATTTTCTTATTAGGTTTGAGAATAATCGGAATTATCCTTGGAATTCGAAATGGGTTAAGTACCCAATATCATAATCGACCATGATTTCTCATTGACAATACAACCGTTCAGCTTACCATACTATAGTTATGTTAAAAAATATATTAATATCAATTTTGGCATAAGTCACACGTTCTTATGTGTGTATTTATGACAAAACTATGCAAAGTATACAAATAGTCAAGCTTATGGTAATGTGGTAACTTAATATCGTCAGCCTTTGTATGGAAAAAAATAATATTTCACTCGTAAAGCTTAGTCATTGGTGGATACATTAAAATAGTTTTCCTTATGAAAATTAACGAGTACTTACATTGGCATTCCGCCTGTATAAGGGGGCTGAGAGATAGTGCCCATAATGCTGAAAATCCATGCTTCCATTAGTAATAAAGAAAAATAAAGGCGAAAAATGAACACATATAACTACACAATGAACGTACACAGTTGAACACTGAGAAGTTTAACGTCATGTCCCCGTGAATAATTTTAGTTCATAAATGTATAAAACGTCTCACAATCGCCCGAAATAGAAAAACGTTACGCGGAGACATGTAACATATTAAAATCCCGTAATAGCCCTTGCTTATTTACGCAACACGCCTGTCTTTTTTTACGGCGTTCAAAGCGAAATATTATTCATTACGCAAGTTCGTCTGGCTCATAAAATTGTAATAATTTACAACATGTCCGCGTAAATAGTATTTTTCATTGCCGTGTTATTACTGAAATATTTTTACAAAAATGTTTGGTATTAACCACCAATTTATACGTATCGGAAGCATTGCGTGAATTTTATACAATTTTTTGCTGTTACTTTATAAATAATAACCATGTGTTGCGTGAAACAAAATGTTTATAGTTCATGGATACACAAACTTACGTTTGAATAAATAATGAAATTGAGTACGTCTGTACTGTCATTCATTACTGTAAGTGTAGATATATTGAACTCTTTATGTAAAGATAACCTTATTTGCGTTTTAAATCTTGGCATATTTTGCGTGTTTTATAGACGCGATAGAATCGGTTATTCGCGAGGACATTTGAAAGTGACTTCTAATAGTTTATGTTTGTAAGTGTTTTGTAACTTTTTTTTATAATTTTGAATAAAAATATCAAACAAAACGGAAAAATTTTGTTCGCATGCAATGAAATTACCCATTCCTCTTAACATCACAACACACATTCCTGTGGACACTCAACAATGGTGTAAAAACAACAAGGCTGCGAATACGACTTCAGTATAAATCGTATAACATATAAAATATTATTCACGAAACTTTGAGTTAAAAAATGGATGATGACTTTTTATTACATTAAATAATTGAAGTTCGAAAAATATGTAATTTAAAATCCTCGACAACCTTTAGCTTTCTCGTCTTATAGCTTTTTAAATTGATGGACAAGACGCCGTGATGGCCAGTATATTTTTGTTTGCTATAAACTTTAAATAATAAATAACTTAATATAAATAAATAATATGGTGAACTTTATATCATTTAATTGAATAATATTTGGAGCTATTTAGTTTGCGTCCGAGTATGTTGTTTGATATTTCGGATCCGCAGCCTCAACATAAATCAAATCTAGATAACATTAGGACATCTATGTAACGTTCACATGGTACTATTATAACGCCTAATGAATAATGTTACCAGTTCTGATGCACGAGTTTGCTTTTACTTGGTCCACTCCAAACAAGGACATCAGAAGAACTGAAAAGATATTCAAATTTTACATGTTTATATTCAAACATTGTGGCGTTGTACACATTTCAAGCAACCCCAGTCACACTGAATAATACTGGCATTAGTTATAATAAAGGTAAAAAACGTGATTTGAATAGAATTAAAGTTAATATTAAGAACATATTTTGATGTAATAATCTATTTCACAATCATATCCCTGAATGGACATGTAACATGTGTGGCTGTGGTTGCTGGTATTAAATAAATTGTAGGCGATTTAATACATCAGACAAGACGTAGAGTGATAAGAAATCATAATTTAAAAATATGGTTCATACAATTCCGCAAAACGTTATTTCGAAAAGTTTTTATATAAAAATTTTTACACTCGACTCATCACTACTCTAAAATATTGAAATTTAAGTTTCCTGAATACGCTAGAAACGGAAATGTACCGAATATGTTACAGAAATTTTCTTCAAAAGGTAAAAAAAAGTCCGGCGCTATTCAACGTCATAATCAAGACCTCATTTTTGTGAAGTAAGCACCGTATGGCAATATGTAGGCGGATCTCGCTGCTTTTCACTAAAATTATTGTTAACCTTTTCAGATTATGTTTATGCCTCGAGCTTTTTACGAATCTCACTATGTAAAAAAATAATTCCAACTTGTGATTATTTTAAGAAAACTTTTACGACCAATTTAGTTACACAATATAACCATATTAGTATTGTTACAAATTAAAAGTTTTAGCGAGTGTTTTATGGCAGCAATAGGATAAACACGATTTAACAACGTTAACCGTATACAAGTCGGTAATTATAAAACGTGGATGACAAATAAAGCTTATCGCAAAATAAAAATTCAAAGCAATCGTCGTAGTGTATGCAAAACATGCTGCGCGATTTCCCTTGCATGATACAAAACAATTAAGGAAATCATTTTATTCTGAAAAACTGCTTGGTTTACTTGGAAGGGAACTGGTTATTTTCGTAGCAAAACGCACATCATTACCCTTGTAATCAAAATATTTATATTTTCTGTAATCTAAGATATAAAATTCTCGTGTCACGGTGTTTGTAATTGAACTCCTCCGAAACGGCTCGACAGATTTTCGTGAAATTTTGTGTGCATATCGGCCAGGGTGGAGAATCGGACAACATCTATTTTTCATGCCCCTAAATGTTGAGGGTGGTCCACTCCAAACATTTTTTTCTACCCTACAAATAATTTATATGGCAAAACAACGTTTGCCGGGTCAGCTAGTTATCTAATAAAAACCGATAAAGTACATACGACGGGATCTCTGCTTTAGCCGTGACGCACAAGTGTTACCTGTGCCAAAACAGATCCCGTCACATATATTTTAATTTATTACAATAGACGTCTTTTCACAATATCTAAACAGAACATTCAATTTTTATTAAACATCAAACTTAAAAACAAATATTTACTTTGCGTTGTGAATGAATCGGTGAATGAGTCTCCTAGGTATTTGACTGTTAACAGTTTACGATGTACACACGTCTACTTTGATTAAAGACAAACACTCGCCATAGCTGAAACTAGTAAATGCAGAGTTACGTGAACCCATAACAAAAGTATTTTGAGGATAGCATACGGCGTTTCAACGTCGTTCAGCTGTGGACGGACTCCTTTCGGTTTCGAATGGGTTATTTATATACAGAACTATGTGGCTTTGTGACTATGTGATGGAAAAGTCACCGCAACTCGCCGAAAATTAAACTCTTAATTAAAACTTGGGAATATTAAACCCATTTCGATGAAACTTGTCATAAATAGAGACTACCACCAGTGTACTTAATAAAACAGGGAAATAACGTATAATAAAACAGGGAAATATCATCTTAATCAGAATGACATTGTACTATTCACACAATGTCAATACTATTAATTATTAGTACATTTAATATGTCATTAACAGTGCGTTGCGCTTTATTAGAAGTATAATATCTCACAATATCGTGTTATATATTTTCCTAAAATACACTGAAAACTCAGAAACGGAAAACGCGTTTTATGCTTTCACTGACATTTAAATATAGCCCTATTAACTTAACCCACACGATTCTTCGCGACACGATACCGTATTGAAATGACGTCTGGCTAGTGTTTCCACGAATTATTATATTGAAAATGAGATACACGAAATCCTTATGACGTATAACATATAATAGAACTAAACGATCCATATGTATTTACAATATTTAATATCCAACTGAAATTTTGATAAATTTGGGATGTGAAATATTTTACGCCACGGGTCAGACCGTCTGTTCGCCTGGCGACGAGTTGCCTTGTTATGCCATGTGTCACCACGTTATGCCAGATGATGCCACATTATGCAAAGCGTATTAATTTCATTAACATCTTACGAACTACCTGCTCACTTGCCACCCTTACGGATATAACGAGTAACCATTAAATTTTAAGTATCTTTTAACAATTTTGTAATAATCATAATATCCTTACGTGATAAAGAAATTAGCGATGGGTGGTGAAAATGTCATAATGTTTGACCAGTGTAAGACTAAATCAATTTATTTTACATTGAAAGTTTTAGAACAGCCTAGTAGACTGCGGCATATTCGGGAATGCCGCATCGATAGTGAAATCCTGCGGCGGCCAAGATCTTTATGCGCCATTTACAGCAGTATCGGGCAATATATTTGGTGTCTATGTTGTGTGGAAGGGATTGGGTAGTAAGTCCCAACGGCCACTGCGATCTAGAAGATCTATTGAAGTCTACCCTTCGTAACATTGCCCCCTTACGGTAGAATAACATCATCATGTGTTAAGTCCGTTTTAGATACATAAATTTCACGTGAACAAACACCCAGATCCGAAAAAATTATCCGTGGGCCACACAAACACAAATTGTCTCGTGCGGGAATAGAACCCACGACCCCGGCGCTGAACGCAATACGATGGCAACTGCGTCACGAAGTTATCTAGTATCGAGCATAGGCTTCAGGAAAACACATAAATATAACATCTAAATAAAACAAAAAACATTTAAATTTTTTAACAGTGGTAGGGCCTCGCAAGAGTCTTCGCTGTTACAGGAATGGGCAGGTCCGTCCGAGAGAGAACTACGACCTCACAGAAGACCGGCGTGAAGTGAAAGTGTTATACTTTTGCGTTTCGTCTGGTGAGTGAGGTAACCGGAACCCGAAGTAAAAAATTAAGGGAAATTTTGGTACTTCAAGTTTTCACGAAAATCTAAATATGCCCATCTTTTTATTATCGTGTTCTGCTATCAGTGTCTGGTATCTTGCTAGGTCCCCCCGTTCTTGAGAAAATTGGTGGTGACACTCGGACAGACATGCGGACAAGAGAGTGATCTTATAAGCGTTCCTTTTTTACCTTTTAAGGTACGGGACCCTAAAAATTATTACATAACCTATTAAAGACTTAATTGCGAGCTGATTAAAGATACTCCCCGATGGGCGAATTGGTCCACGTAACGGAATACGCAGCCATCTAACGTGATATAAGGTGCAACGGACAATTTTAGAGCGACGTATTGCTGGCAGCCGCTGCTATGCCATATCACATCGCCTTATGCCCGGTTCCTATACTCAACAAAAGACCGTTAGTTACATAGTTTCTAAACTTTCATAACGACTTGTAGATAAAAAGCATGTACGCCCGGTTCCTATATTAACAAAACGACGCGTTGTCCTTACGAGCCGTTGCTGTACCTACGGAAAGTGAGTTACTAGCGTTCCTTTAATCTACAAGTCGTTACGAAAGTTACGAAGCTATGTAACTAACGGCCGTTCGTTGAATATAGGAACCGGGTATTAATTCTTTCTGGGAAACGGAAACAGTCCGCTTGTATTAAAATCCGAACACCTCTCCATTGACAGATTGAAATGTGTGTATTAATAAAAGAACGTAAGTTTGAAAGAAAGAAACTGTTTAGCAGCTACGAAAGCAGTATTACATCGTACACATATTAATACAGGTTCTTTCTGTTAATGAAAAGCTCCACCATGTAATATTTTTGCATATCAGTCCTACCGCTGACCTTGCGTTAATATTTTGCAATAATAAATGATAAGATTTTGTGTCGAGACTCTTAGATTGCATCGCACCTGCAACCTGTCATGTTTAGAAATCCATGGGCGGCTGTAATCACATACCCTCATTTGAACCGCTTGCCTACATCAAACAAAAAAAAACATTTTTTTAACTATTAAGATTTTTATTAATTATGACAGATATATAGTACATTGCATTAGAGATCACAAACATAAAAAATACAACCGAATTTAGAACCGCCTACTTAAATCGGTTGACTATCAACACCATGGCCGATTGATTTTGCAGCAAGGTGTTATTTCAGGTGACTGTGGGTACGCGTTCAAAGATCTAAATTTACCGTCAGCGACCTTTCAACGCAGTTACAGAATCGCAGGGAAGAACATCTAAAATTCACACGTGGTTCCTTAATAGGACGATCAATGACCATAAACGAATGTAAAAACTCCAGTGTTGTATGAAAATTAAACATATAAACGTAAACGCAACGTAGGCACAATACAACTTTTTTAAGTAATATATAATAATAATAATAAAATATCTTTATTCACATAGACGCTTGCGCGTTCTTATGAAACGTCAAAATTTTACAAGAAATTAACACGTTCGTAAGTTACCACCGGTTCGGAAAGCAGTTTCAGAAACCGGCAAGAAACTCAACAGTTGCTCTTTTTTAAAAAAATCAGTTTACAATATAATAGTACAGGTACAATAGTCTTGTTTTAGCCTACGTGAGTATCAACAGTATTAACCCCACACATTGGCGTTGTCAAGATATTCGGCAATAGTATAATAGGCTTTAGCCATAATTTTACTTTGAATTTTTCGTTTAAATTTATCAAGTGGCAGACTTATTATCGACTGTGGGATTTTATTATACATGCGCACACTTTGCCCCATGAACGACCTGTTTACTTTTTGTAGGCGAAATAATGGCGTAGTTAGTTTGTCCTTATTTCTAGTATTTAGTTTATGTCTGTCACTATTCTTTTGATAATTATTAATATTCTGTTTAACATACAAAATATTACAATAAATATATTGAGACGCAACAGTGAGTATATTAATCTCTTTAAAAAGATCTCTGAGTGTATTCCGGGCTCCGATGTTATAAATTGCTCGGACAGCCCTTTTTTGAATAATAAATATTGAATTTATATCAGATGCACTACCCCACAACAAAATGCCGTACGACAAGATGCTGTGAAAATAACTGTAGTAAACAAGTCTGGCAGTGTCGATGTCTGATAGCTGCCTAACCTTCCTAATTGCAAAAACAGCGGAGCTTAACCTATTCGCAAGAGATGATAGATGGGGACTCCATTGGAGCTTTGAATCTACTGTGATTCCCAAGAATACAGCGGACTCAACAGGATTAAGGGTTACGCTATTCAATTTTAAGCTAAAACTTTGCCTTCTTACGTTGGGAAGGGCAAAAAGAAGGCATTTAGTTTTTTTAGCATTTAACACCATATTATTAATGGTAAACCAGTGTAGGATACGCGAAAGTGCACTATTCACGTCGTCATAATTCGATACATTTCGGTCAACCTTAAAAATAAGCGATGTGTCGTCAGCAAACAGTACAACATCACATAACTCACTGGCATAAAAGAGGTGATCATTTATATATACTAAGAATAATAATGGGCCCAAGATTGATCCTTGTGGGACACCCATTTTCATGGGGGACCCTGCGGAATTTACATCATTTATAGATACTTTTTGAATTCTATTACTAAGGTAAGAGGCAATGAGATTGAGGGCGATGTCACGAATACCATAATAATCAAGCTTTAGAAGGAGGGTTTTGTGATCCACGCAGTCGAAAGCTTTTGAAAGGTCGCAACAAACACCTATTGCATCTTGCGACCCTTCCCAGGCGTTATAAATATGTTTGACAAGTGCGATACCCGCATCTGTTGTCGATCTGCCTTTAGTGAATCCATATTGCTCATTGTGAAAAATTTGTTCATATTAAAATGTACTAAGAGCTGATTTAAAATTAGTTTTTCAAAAATTTTACTCAGAGATGGCAATATGGAGATAGGTCTGTAGTTTCCTGGATCATTTTTATCCCCACTTTTGAAGACGGGGATTATCTAACTAATATATATATTATAATATAATATAATATATATATTATATATATTTTTGTTATTATTATAAAATTGGACTTGTAATATTAAACTCTTTGTAATATTAAAATAACCGCTTATTACTAAATGCATATGGATACACTGTACATATTACCAAAATATTTCTTTTTGTCCCTCTGTTTGTTCCGGCTAATCTCGGAAACGGCTGGACCGAATTTGACGGGACTTTCACTGGCAGATAGTTGATGTAATAAGGAAGAACTTAGGCTACTTTTATTTTAGAAACTTTATTTCTTTTTATAAATATATGTAATACTACCTGCTGCCCGTGTTTGGGGTGGACCATCCTTAACATTTAGGAGGATGAAAAATAGATGTTGTCCGATTCTCCACCCTGGCCGATATGCACACAAAATTTCACAAAAATCGGTCGAGCGGTTTCAGAGGAGTTCAATTACAAACACCGTGACACGAGAATTTTATATATTAGATAATAATTTCACGCGGACGAAGTCCTGGGCACAGCTAGTATATATATATATATATATATACAGCGTGTCGTTACCATCGCGACAATAAATGGTTACTTGAAGTTAAACAAAAATTTCAAACAACTAATTAAGGGCAACAGCTAAACTATTAAGTAAAAAACAAAATTTGTAACATCCTATACAACTCGCGCCACAGCGTGCATTACAAGCCTCTCCTTCTAACCGTACGTTTTGCGACAAATTCATTGAACACCATCTCATATGCTTTGTGACCTTTACAAATGAACTTTACGTTACGCTTTTATAGGTGTTCTAAAATTCTTTGTTTTGGAAAATTTAATAACACTGTAAATATTGATATTTAAAGAATTTAAATGTTTAATACAACTTTAAAAAGTTATCCCCTATATGTGTTTTCATTTCATTTATTTCGCTGTATATATATACAGGTTTACTTGTTTTCTCTTAGTATATGGTTGTTTTATACGTCCTCTATACGAAAAGGTCAAATCGAAAAATTATGAAGAACGCGAAAGCCACATTTTTTAAAGCAGACCATTTAACCGCATCAACCTTGTGAACACTAGCTTTACACGCGATTCAAATGTGCTTTTTTTTTATTTTGATTGCAGTTTATTTCCTTTCGAGTTTAATATCTGTATATAATACGTGTATAAATATTTTCAAAACAATAACTGAGAATTTTACTAATATCTCTTGAAAAATGTACTATGAGTGTGTGAAAATTTTGTTTAGGTAATTTTGTGTAAGATTTTCGGTTTTTCCTTTCGTAAAGCAAGTATCATTGGAAGCAAATAATCTTGATACATATCGATAAACTATCTCCGGTTTTCAAAAAGCAATTGATACAATTAGGAAGGAAACAGAAGTTTTTTAATTTAAAAAAGAAATATTTATGGCGAGTAAGTTTATGTCACATGTATGGATGTGTAAAAAAACCAAACTAAGTAAGGAGATAAACGATTAACAAGCTATTATATAATTATTAATGATTTAGTCGTTTAAATACAATAATTCAAAAACAGCTAAAACATTAATTATTTGAAACGTTAATCTAAAAAACAACACAGTTCCCAATGCATGTGTGAAATTATTTGTCACTTTCTAATATGAAGACTTTTTCGTCGATGGTCTTCATTTCCATTTGATGTTATAATTTGACTCGGAACGCCACAGCTCATGATATTTACTGTTGTAGACGTTATTAGTGACGTTATGATTTTATAAATGGCCGGTAAAACTAGAACAGACGTACCTTGTAGTGCTGGACGCGTAATTTGTATCGATAAAAGTTTTTAATGGGTGAAATTCATTATCAAAATTCTTAAATAACTAACATATTTTCTTATATTTATTCATACTATGGCATATTAGGTAATATTAAGCATGAAGTTATGATACTTACAAGTCTGTTTTTTTCAATGTTTAGGCATTAAAATTAGGTAATAGTTGTTTTTTTTTTCTGGCACTGAATTATGAAATCGAAGGTTAGGACTCACTGATGTTAATTGTTTTAAAAAATTGGTTCCGTAAAACTGTTTTGACAATAATAGGAAGTTTTTATAATGCATTCATAATAAAGAGGGCATGGATTTTTATGTTGGACATCCTCATAAAAATCTAGTAAGAGCCCTTACAGTTCTGTTTTGAGTTTTCTAACGATCGATGGCTTAGACTGCATTCTAACTGCAGACTGCTAACTAGTATCGTCCGAAAACTTTCATGCGACTTTTTAATTTCGTCAATTGCCAATAATTTTGGGGATATATTAATTTAAGCGTTTATTTATTAATTGAATAAATAAACGGATTCATTACTTTTTTTTAAATCTTGAACCAAGTAATTGTATCTAAAGAAAATCGTTACATAACATTGTTCTTTTGTACAAAATTTACTTAAGGTCAAACTATTTTGTAAAACCTTCATATTATATGCTTATACTTAATCACAAAAAACTGAGATATAATAAATTGTAAATATTATAAAACCAAGGTACATGGTAGGATAACTGTTGCACTACTTTTGTCATGCCAACAAATTAAAGAATTTTAGCATTGCCATTGAGATAAGGACCATGCGCCGACACCTAACATAGAATGCACCACTTGTAGTGTAATAATTTTAAGACTTTTTCTTATAATTTCACCAGTGAAACTATGTGCAATTTATTTACCCTGAAAGCTTGGAGCCGAACTAACGCGTCATTACTTTTCCTGCCCGTACCGAAAAACAAATAGTCTTTTAGAATTAAAAAATACGGTTATTTATTAAAGAGTAACTCTCAGCTAAAACTATTTTATGTTTATTTTCATATAATTACCTGGCACGGGGTATATCCAGCGCATTTTTCGTAGCTTCTCCAATTTGATCACTGCCGTCCTGCTTTCAGCTCAACTCTACATCCATAGCTGCTTCAAAAACAAGCTTAATTTATAAAGTACCAAAAATACCTACTAACTAGTCTATACGAATACCTACAATTTTTTTCACAATCATAAATGAATAAATGAATCAAAATGACAACATGAACATCAGTATATTTTATCAAAGTAGATGAATACTAGTATATTAAAAAAATGTGTGACAATTTCTATTATCTCCGGATATTTCATCGATAACTGTTTCTCTCAGAGAGACATAACGATTACAAAAAACTGATCAGAAAGCGTATGAAAAATTATGTGATCGCCGTCCTTGTAACAAAAACAAAAATGATTTTAATTTTACATTTATGGGTAGACACCCGTATACAAAACTTGTAACATTTTATACAAAAAAAAATATGTATTAAAATGAATAGAAATATGGGCCGGAAAAAATAAATAATTATGCGTTTATAAAATTTCTTTGACATTTTTAATAAATCTGAAATGTTGAGTATACAACGATCAGAGGAAATCATATAAAATATGATTGTGGTTTAATAGGCGGCCGTGAAGATGAAACGTGTTCCTATTTGCATTTTTATCTTAACGTATAAAAAATATTATTTAATTAAATCACCAAAATCATTTTGGTCGGGTGAACAGAAGGACCCTTGGTATTGTTAAATAATTTTTAAAACCTAAAATTTCTACATTTAAAAAATATAAGGGCGCGAATACTAATAACTTCATTTAACGAGTTATTACAGTTCTTTGGTTTTTTTTAAATGAAGTATTTTGTAATATTGAAATTAAATGACATTTAACTTAATTTTTAATAATTGTTTTGGTTGGTTTACGCACAAGGATCATTTAATGACCACAGCAATAAAGCGTTATACGCTAGCGTATCCACGAACAATGCTATGCGCAGACATTATTGATTTTGAAGCAGAGACATGCCGGGTAAATTTTCAATTCCTTGTATAATAACAACACGGAGATGTATACTACGGTAATTGATAATAAATCTTCTATTGTAATTAACTTGCACAATTATTACCCGCTGTGTTTTGAGCATATTTCCATTATGTTCTTTTAAGTAAACATTTCTAAAAAATATATCATTATAGAGAAATACGTTTTCAAAAACTTAATATATTTTTCAAATCTTACCAGCGAATATGAATAAAACCAACATTGGTTATGCAAAATATATCACCACTACGCTTGTCTTGTGCACACCGGATGTTATAAATCTAGAATAATCATAATTACGCAATATTTTAACTGTACGTTCTATAATTTTTCGCGAAAATAGGACTGCTTCCGTCCCATTTTATGCGGGAAAATCGGCTTACAACCGCACGCCAACCTGATCCAGACTAACGGAGTTGTCAGTATTATACTTTCACTTGCCAAGGACACGAAAATGGAATACGTAGGACAAACATTTTTCCTTTCAAAAACATACTATTATTTCGACGTTAAAACCGTAATTGACATAATTACGTTTAACTTGAAAGCCTTAAAATAAACAGGTCAAGAATAAAATGCTCTGCGTTTCAAAACCTGAGCTATTACTGAGTTCAGGTTTTAAACAAGTCAAAACAGGAAAACTATATATGTAACTATAACAAAACAGCGTTTGTTATAGTAAACGCTATCTATTTTATGTATAGCAAATTTAAATTCAATATCACTTTTTATAGGTAATGTAATTGTAATAATTAGCAACTACATAATATGTAATATACAAAGGAAAGCAAAAAATTTCCCCATATCTTTTTATTATTTGTATGATGGCAACATTGAAATGCGCCAATTGGCTTTGAGCTGCCGCTATGCGGAGATAAGTAAAAAAGAAAACTAGAATATGTAGAGTATTGTAGAGATGGTACGTTGTAATCATGACCTTAAAAGCACCTTTTTAGCAGAACATAGCATATAATATCATCAATAGTTATTTGATTCGTGTTTCAAATTTTGGAATCTTGTATTTACAATTTGTAATCAAAATAAAAAAAAATGGTGACCTCAATAGATATTTGATGTATTGCAAATTTTGCAATCTTGTACGTAGAATTTGTGATGCAGTAAAGACAAACGTCACAAGACAAGACAAACAACACAATTTATAACAATAAGCCAATTAGCGTATTTGTATGCTAAGGTTCGACGGAACCGTATTTTTTTGTCTCATCGGCGTCAGAACTGAGAACTTTTCGAAAATATTCACCCCATACCGAAACTTGACATAATGACAGAAGCAAAAGCAATGTTAAACATATTTGTAACAAATAAAATTACCTATCTTCGAGCAAAATTATTAGAAAAACAATAAGATAAAGAAGTCCATGTTTTAAAGGTTCCCAATAAATTTAGATTCCGTGGCGTAGTTGACAAGGTATGTAATAGGCTGCAGCGTCGGGGGTCGTGGATTCGATTCCCACACATGACAACTATTTGTTTTGGACCCACAGATAGTTGTTTCGCATCTGGGTGTTAGTCCGTGTGAAATTTATGTTTGTTAAACGTCCTTACATCACAGGACATGTTATATGACATACAATGACATACAATGTTTTTTCAAAAAAACAAAAACAAACCCCGAACGTCTGGATCGAGTGATCTGGTACCAAGCGATTTTTTATGTGAAAATTATCAAAGGCTGTTCACCTGATTATAAGTGAATACCGGTCATGGACGGACATTACTATAGCTGAGAGGTTGAAGATAGCTATCACGAAAGTAGAATTAACGTATATATTTATTTAACTTTAATTAGGATCGGAATCTAAAAAGGAATAATTTATAAAAAAATGTGGATAATACATATACAAAATCCAAATTTATACTGATGTAAAAGCCCTTTATTAGTCGGTTTTGTTGAAGAAATCCGCTCCTGACTGAAGTCCGATTTTATAAGATTTGATTAAGTCCTTAAATACTTATTTTTTACTGTGCTAGTCTCTGCACGTGTAGAAAAATGAACGAAGTTTTTCTCCGCTGTAAGGATTTGAACCTGCGACCTCCGAGTTAGGCGGCCGACACTCTAGTCACTGAGCTATTATTTATAAATTTCTATATTTCATGTATTTATACAGCGTGTCGCTACAACCGCGACAATAAATGAATACACATATAGGGGATAAATTTTTAAAATTGAATTAAACATTTCTTTAAGCGTCAATATTTACCGAGTTATAAAATTTTCTAAAACAACCTTACGTATAATACTGTAACGTAAAGTTCATTTGTAAGGGTCACAAAGCATATGTATGGGTTGAATGAAATTAAGAGACAAACATACTGTTAGAAGAGGAGGCTTGTAATGCGACGAATGAAAAAGTCTCTGAATGTATGAATCAGTCAGTTGTAGTTGTACAGGTGTTACAAATTTTGTTTCTTCTTTATTTATTTAGTTTGTCTGAAAATATGTATTTTTTATGGATCTTTTTAAAGCTTACCTTTTTTTTGATTATTGGCACGTAGCGTTACACTCGTGTTCATTTATTGTCACGGTTGTAGGGACACGCTGTATAGTGGTGTTTGTTTTTTTCTCATTGAACGAAATATAAATTGCGATGAATTTTTTTGACTAATAAAAATCATTACAATGACTGCAGTTACTCAATTACTGAATTAAATTATATTGTATATAGGTATCGTAGACAAAAGGAAAAGTAAAATAAATGTCTTATTTTCACCATTGTATATTTGATGACCTTGTATGAGTTACTACATCGAAAAATTATTTGATAACATGAAAACACAATATTGCCTTGTAATTATATGTTATACACGTACCTCTTTTACTAAACAGTGCATAATCACAATACATATTCACATGTACCATGGATAACTTCTACAACATATTCAACCGTCATAAAGCTGATTTACAATATCAAATACTAATTAAACAGAAAAAGCCATATACAGGAAATTGGCCTCCAATCTAGGAAAAAAAATGTAACTCAATTCGTTTGTGTTGTCTCCAACAAGATTTGGATGGCAAAAATAAATTAACCACAGTTTTGACAAATTACCAGGTCAGTTTCAGCTATGTGGATTAAGTATTAAAGTATTGTACTTTAAGCGCGTAATTGTATTGTACTTCAAGTACAAAGTACAATTACAATATAAATAACATGTGCGCAGATTGTCGTACTTAAGTAGAGATTGTCGAGTCTTTTTATTGACCAACAATCTACAGGGTAATTTTTTAGACGAAGTACATATTTTGACATCATGTTAATTGAGCATTCCATCATTAAAAAACAAAATATTAATATTTTATTTTGACAATAAATAGCCCGAAAAATATCAATTCAAACATTGTTTGTTTATAAGCGGTTTAGTAATTATGCGTTCAGCGAAGTTTTAGTGCTCGTCAATAGGTTATTGTATTGAGGCGGTAGTGCAGGAATTTCTTAAGGTGTCCGTATTGATTGATAAAATTGATATTTGAAAAAAAATTAGATCGTAAGTATTTACCAGATTCAGATTTAGAATCAAATTTTGCATATGCTCTGTTAATATGTCCGTCGTCTATAAAATCATCCCGTCAATATTAACGTTTTTAGTATATATGTACTTGTTCATAAATCGAACAACATACTATGTCAGTTATTTCCTTGTTATTACAATCGCCTTATATGGAAGGTAAGTCAATGTTACTCCACAATATTTGGTCAGTGAAACATTGCTATAAGAAACACAAAGGTCCAAAAAGATAGCTGTAAAAATATTTTTGTCTTATTCTTCAATAAGTCAAAATACTTTTGTTCTGCCTACATGCACAATCACATAATTAATGAACAATATGTGTGGATTTTAGCAATTTTAGTATATCGAAAATATTTTACTACCAGCAATATCTTATTAACTATAACATTAAAACTATGTCACCAGTAAAAAAATAGTTTGTAAAAGAAATAATTTTAACCAGTATATTCCAGTTTAGTTTGTTATAAAGCAGTATATTATAAACATGGTAAGGCAACATTTATTAACACAAAGTAAACAATTCATATACTTGATAAGGCTTTTCATATCTCAATTATATTTGCAATGATAGCAAGAAATACTATTACGAAATCAACAATTCACATTATTTTCCAATTGCATGAATACAATAGGTTGTTCACAAATATTCCAAAATCTTTGTTTAACTGTTGTGTTTGAAAGTTCAATGTGTTTATAAGGAATGGTCAGTCTAGAAAATTATATTGTTGCCTTAGACAAGAACCCTGAAATTCTTCTTTTTGAATGTCAAGATCTGATACATCTATAGGCTTTTTTGAAGCTATAAGGTAGAATTATTTATGTAGCCCTTAAACCATCATAAGAGTATGACATACACTTCACCATAGACACTTTATTATTTTATTTACTTTTCTATACCTTACTATCTCACCCATTTATATTTCTTACTTCACTTTTAGGGATATTGTAAATTTAATCTACCTACAAGGTTTTTTTCTATAACTACGTACAGTTTACTGTTGCTATTATTATCACGTTATTTAAAATTTAATGTTGGATATGACTGATGACAAATCCCATAATTCCTACCTCCTGATACATCATTTTATAATTGTATTTTCTTCAATCTAGTCTCATTCTTTAGGTCCCAACATTACAAATGCTCAGTTTGTCTAACAATACAGTTTTTGTTTCAAGTGCATTTGACAGTTTGTATCATCCTTGAACTATAAAAATATTCCTATATAATAACAAACATCAAATAAAGCAAAGTTAACCATATAACTAGGAAATCTCTTGTATGGTTGATAATATTTAAAAAAAGCAGATTAACAATCATATTAACTTGTTACAAATTGAAATAATCAAAGAGATCCTAATATCAATAACATACAAATAATAAACAAAAACTTCTATAGCAACAGCCATATCACAGGTGCAAATGAATGCTTTATAAAATGTGGACTAAACTATTTTATTATATTTTAAAATTAACTTTGAATTTAATATGAGGAAAGTTACGTAATTCAAGCTTTTTACTTTCGGTGATTTTCATATGTAATATTATTAAATTATAATTTATTAAAGGCCTTTTCACAATATTTACTTATTATTCTTAGCAATATACCATCAACAAATCACTACAAAGTACATTCTTAAGGGTTTACATTTCATCCAGTTCATCACAGCACATAGCTCACTTTTACATACCATATTATGATTATGAATGTTTGTATGACATGTTTGATTTGTAACAAGAGTCAAAACATGAAATAAATAATGACAATGTATTGTTTTAAATTCCCTTTTCAAAATGTTGTAAAACAGTAAAAGACGGAATTTTATGATTCAATTGTGTTCTTACTAAGTTCGTAAAATACGATTAAATATTTTCATTAAAGCCTAAAGAATAATATGAACACATAACATACCTCATGGCAGATTTCTTACCATTTTTAATATAATTTAGCTGAAATGCTATTATTCTTACATTAGTTACTTGTTACATTTACCTTCTACCATCCTCTTTTTTCTTACAAGTATAGGCACACAAGAATTTTACCATTTATGAAATTGGTGATGTAAGTATAGGCATGGGATGTTTATTAACAAGATTTTCCTCAATACTTTTGTTGTTGTTTGTTAGGATTACACTACATTACGAGTGCTTGCACACAAAATTGGTTTAAACATTAGAAAGAAGAATGTAAGCGATAAGGAAGCTTGTTAGTATTGTACTGAATGATGTTACTGCAGTGATTGTTTTATCGATCAATATTGGACGTTAAATGTCGTATTCCGATCGGCAACTTGGTTTGTAACGAAATATTACTCATTTGTACGTTATACCACTCCGAGGTATTCATAATTCCTTATTAGACCTCTCGTTACTTCGTTCCGACAATCACACTCCATTTCCACGGCAATAGGTGAGACTTTGGCTAAAGATGGTCTCAGCTATAAAAGAGGTGTTTGTACTTTTCTGCGACACTCATCGATTAATTACCGTCGGACGCCACAAAAACTGAATCAATGAAGTGAAAATTGGCGGGACCCAATCTTACGATGTGTTTCGCGAAGGAAGACCTGCAAGACAAGTAAAAAAAAATTATATATTTACGAGCACAGGCACAGGGGTGCAAACGTAGATCCTAGGGATGTCGAAAGTGAAGAAATATATCTTTGTTTATAAAAATATCAATATCGGTCTCGATATACCCATATTTTCAGTTGTGCAAAATAAGGTACGTCAAGTATTAAATATTTGACATTTATATTTTTTCGACATCTCTAGCGGATTCATACACAGAATAAAAGACGGAAGGTTTATGTTTTAACAGAAATTAGCGCTTTCATTCCATAGACTATTAAAGCTGCCTCGAAAGCAGAAGCCGTGGGCTAGCTAGAACCCACGTGTTTGAGGCCCTTTACAGTAGTGGCTACATGTAAATGTGATCAGAACATGGCGTAATCTCGAGAAGTTCCCGCCCAAAGAACAAAGAAGGTGACCTATGTGGTGTGTTATTTATGTACCCGGCTACTCACGCGAAGGGTGCGATGTAGGTGATCAGAATATGGCCGCTTCCGTCCAAAGAACCCAGAAGGGGACCACGGTGGTGTGTCGTTTATGTGCCTGACTGATTCGATAACGTGAATGCTGTGATGTAGTTGTGATCAGAATATGGCGTAAACTCAAGAAGTTCCCGTCCTAAGAACAAAGAAGGGAACCACTGTGGTGTCATTTGTGTCCCAGACTGCTTCGATAACGTGAACGCTGTGGTGTAGTTTTGATCAGAATATGGCGTAACCTCGAGAAGTTCCGCCCAAAGAACAAAGAAGGGGGCCTATGTGGTGTGTCATTTATGTGCCCGGCCGCTTCGGGACTCAGGTGAAGGGTGCGGTGTAGGTGTGATCAGAATATGGCCGTTCCCGTCCAAAGAACAAAGAAGGGGACCACTGTGGTGCGTCAAATTTGTGGCCGGCTGTTTCGGGACTCACGTAAAGGCGTGCGGTGTAGGTGTGATCAGAATATGGCCGTTCCCGTCCAAAGAACAAAGAAGGGGACCACTGTGGTGCGTCAAATTTGTGGCCGGCTGTTTCGGGACTCACGTAAAGGCGTGCGGTGTAGGTGTGATCAGAATATGGCCGTTCCCGTTCAAAGAACAAAGAAGGGGACCACTGTGGTGCGTCAAATTTGTGGCCGGCTGTTTCGGGACTCACGTGAAGGCGTGCGGTGTAGGTGTGATCAGAATATGGCCGTTCCCGTCCAAAGAACAAAGAAGGGGACCACTGTGGTGCGTCAAATTTGTGGCCGGCTGTTTCGGGACTCACGTGAAGGCGTGCGGTGTGCGGCGAGGTGGTGCGCCACTAGAGCCTCTCTCATATGATGTTGCAGCAGCGGCAGTAGCGCGGCCTCGCCCCCCCGCCGGCCACGGGCGGCGTCACCGGCGCGAAGTACGCGTGCACCTTTATATTGGGCAGGTGGCTCTGGAAAACGAAAATCGGTCGCCTCTATTAGGATTTGTTTATTTGAAACGTTCGCGAGCGAGCGAACCGAATTCGGCTAACCGAGTTGGATTCGAGTAACCAGTCTTTGGACTTCCATACATGAGGGGTTTTTGCCATAGTTGCCACGCTTGGCGAGCGGGTTGGCAAAAAGGTTGGAAGAAAGGTTCTCGAGTGGCAGCCTCGTACTGGCCATCGCAGTGTAGGACGACCCCCACTAGATGGAGTGACGACCTGTGCAAATGTGCGGGAAGTCGATGGATGCAGGTGGCTCAGGATCGTACTTCGTGGCAGTCTGTGGGGGAGGCCTATGTTCAGCAGTGGACTCAAACAGGCTGAAATGATGATGATGATGATGAACCAGTCTTTTAAATATAATAGTTAATTGTTATTAATTATACAGGGAGATTTTTTGAGAAGTGCCCAAATTTACACGGGAGGTTCAGACTCGGTAGAATAATCTTTTGTTTAAATAAAAAACAAAGTTTTTTTTTCCAAAAAAAAAGCCATTCTATTTCCTAAAAACAGAACGTATTGACAATGCGGTAGTCATTCATAAATACTTAAATTTTACTGTGCACGAACTTGTGTGCGTGTTAGTTATGAATGATCGCGCGTAAAATAAATGAGTTGCGTATAAATCACGCACTTTTTGAGAAGTTCAAATGAATATAATTAATTTACTTACGAGTGATTTGAAATATTTATCATTTTTTATATAACATTATTTATGTCTAGAATTTAATAAAAAAAATGGATACACTTAGAAAAGCCACCCAATATAGTTATACATTAATATCAATAGTTAATGTACGATATTTTAGCACCCATTTTAAAGTGTGTTCTTTATGTAAATTATGTCTGGCTAGGACAGAATATTAAAGTTGGTGTACCTTCCATGCTACAACTTTGAGTCCTTGACCATTTTGTCTAAATAATTTTTATTTTTTAATTTAAGGTACTCTTTATATGTTTTGTGCACTGTGTGTATATTTAGACAAATAAACGATTATTATTATTATTAAGTGATTACCGCCGCCCACGGACATTTGCACCACCCGTAGGGTTGCGGATGCGTCGCCACCTTTTAATTAAGTGGCCCCGGCTACCTCACTCACAAGACGTAACGCATATGTACAATACTTCTACTTCACGGCGGTCTTCTGTGAGGGCGTGGTACTTACGCGGATGGACCTGCCCATTTGTGCAACAGCAAAGACTGTTGCGTGGCCCTGCCACAGTTAGCCCCGCGGATTTCAAGAAATCAGTGACTACTTTCTGTTCCCCAAACCCTATAACGATCTCCGAGGCGGGCATTTTTCCGATGAAGAGTTGAGGGCGGCAATTGATGAAATTTTTTCAGATTAGAAAGAAAAAAATATTTTTAGAGAATAAACGTTCAAATAAGTTGAGGTGATGGAGGAGTAAAAAGTACAATAACAGCCTATTAACTGGCAGGCGACCCCACTGCGTTTTGGCGAAATTGACCTATCTTCGGAATATTTTTTTTTTGTTATTATTTCGAAAACATACGGGCTTCCTCACGATCCCTTCGCCGCTGAGCACGTGATAAGTCAGCACTAAAAAATAACAATTTCATTGGTGCCGGCAGCACTGGCTAGCGAAGTCAGGTTGCTCGAATATATTGCACTACAAGCGAGCGCGGAACGACAACGACCTACCACGGCGGGACTACATTGGAAAATAAACCTTATTAAGAATTTTCCGCTTATTTTTTCATGCATATACCAAGAATACATTGAACGCCCCTCGTATGTATTGGTAATATGGAACATACCCTCAACTTGCGTATGGCGTTCCTTGTCACCATCTGACAGTCGTACAATTCTATAAGCTGAAGATTATGACATGAGGTCAAATGCTCCAAGGCCCCATCAGTCACCAAGGGGCAATTGTCTAAACCTGAAACAAGTGTTTATTTTAAATGGTATATAGGGTACACATACGTCCATTTCTAATAGTTATAAATGGAACATCTGGGTTGAATCCAATTACTTAAATAAGTATGTACCAATAATAAGACATCCTAATTAACAACTTTAATTAATATAATATTTAAAAAAATCTTATTGATTCTAAACATGACAGTGGTTTAAAACAAATAATCAGTTCTTTTAATATAGATGCGAGGAGTGTGCGCATTTCATCATTCGTTGCCTTTGATCATTTTTCTTAACTGGTACATATTTTCTAGAAACTTTACGAAAGTTTATGATTTTACCTAAAACAGTGAGATGCTCCGCAGCACACGGAGACATAGACAGCTGTTTGATTCCGTAGTCTGTTATAAGTTCGCAATGTGACAAAGTCTGAAAATAAATATTTTTATCAATTATTAGATAAAACATTAAACAATATAAATTAAAAAAACTTTCTATCAAGAAATTGAGCTTTTTTAACATAAACATTCATATATTCTGTGAGTTACTATATCACAGTTATTTTGCATAAGAAAAATGTTCTAAATATATTATTATGCAGTTTTGATAGCCTACATGTGTATTGTAATAAGGATCATATTTATAATAATAATAATAATCTTTATTTCAGACAATACACAAAATTAAGTACATTGTCCATAGTACTTTATACACAATCATCATATACTTACCAACTTCTCAAGCCTTGGGCAACCCATCGACAAGTGAACAAGAGTGGTGTCTGTTATTAGAACACATTCTTCTAAATCCATACGCTCCAGCAATCTGCAATTCTGAAAACATAGGAAACTTATGGTTATCTTAATATAAAAAAAATTATATTGGTGCAGCCACGCAACAGCTGTTGCACGGAAGGACGGTATCGACATGACATGAGCTTAAAACACAACAAGGATTTATTTGCACTATCGCATTTCGTCTGGTGAGCTAAGGGCACACTAAAGTTAAAGTACACGCAACGCGTCAGCGATGACGACAATGTAGATGTCGATGAATGTACTCAGTTTTTTTTGTATTTTGTGTGGAACGGGTTGGATAAAAATCAGGACAAACACCCAGATCCGAAACAATAGTCAATTCTTTTTTTTTTTATGTGAAAGTTGTCAAGCGAGCCGATGGTTCACCTGATGTTAAGTGAATACCATGGACATCCGCTACACCCGAGGGTTGCAGTTGCGTTGACAACCTTTTGAAAATTGGGCTGTCAAAATGTCACACAAACAGTTGTATCGTGTGGAAATCGAACCCACGACCCCCAGACGCCGAAGCAAATGCCTTGTAAACTGCCCCACGGAGCCATCATGGATGTACATAATCAATAATACCTGAATCGCCAGCTCATACCCAATAAATATACACAAAATACCAAAGTCCGGAGCCGGTGCAAGCGTCACCCGTCTCCTCTTTTTAAGAAGCAGGGGCACCGTCAATACTCAGTGGGGTCGGTTGGTGGACTATGCTCTGATATCCCCTGTCCAGAGGAGAGCTTTGCCCGCCAGTGTGATACTTATAGGCTTTTACTTTACTTTAGGCACCGTCTGGTGAAACAACTAGGACAAGCAAAGGAACGGGTCAGCAACCGTGACTTTGTATTATATATATATATATGCGACAGGGTTATGTGGGACACACCCTGTCACCCCCCCACGTGACAGGGTTATGTGGGACCAACCCTGGCGAGCGCCTGGAAGCCGGCGTCCGTGAGCTGGCTGCACTGCGCCAGCTCCAGCGTGACCAGGGCCGGGCAGCGGACGGCGAGCGCGGCCAGCGACGCGTCCGTCAGCCGGCCGCAGCCGGACACGCACAGCCGCCGCATGCCGCCGCCGAGCTTCGATATCGACTCGTCCGTCACGTTCTGCGCAATCCGTGTAAGTGCTTCGTCAACGAAATGGATGAGCGCTGGCGGTTTGTTACAATGAGTCCGCAGTGTTGTCGATAAAAAAAAAAGAAAGAGGCCACTTAGTCTCTTAAGAAATATGTAAGAAGAATGGCTGCATAACTGTTGTCGAATAGTCTGTATGGAGAAATCATAAAACGTGGAACAACAATAATAAAACTAATGTGTAAAATGTCATTTCCAAGAAAAAAAAGAATGCCGAATACATTTCCAGAATATGATGAATAGGCTGTATGGGGAATCCCATGTCATTAAACTTTCATAATAATAATATTAAAAAAGATGCAATTCGAAACATTTGCTCTGTCCACTTGCGATGAGCAATATCAAATAGATTAATAAGACCTGACAAATAAATTTATAGAATACCATTTAAGCGTAGTGACGTTTCCGAGTGCGAGTGTAAGAGCCATATAAGGGATTGACCTTAGTTAATTATAATAAAGTACTATGGTAATAAATCAATATCCTTTTTTTGCAAGGTAAAATAAAGTATTATCCGTCTGTATTTATCTGATTTCGTGACTCAGAGATGTAGTTCATTGAAATAACTATTTCTCTTTCTATGATAGTGATGTTAATACAAAAAATTAAACTAGTGGACTTTTTAAATCATAAAATGTAAGCAATACTTACGTCACAACCCTGTACATTGAGAACTTCTAAGTCTGGACAATGAGTAGCTAGGCTTGACACAGCTTTGTCATTCACATTTTTGCATCCTATTAAAAGACACCAAGTCCTGTACTAATAGTTACGATAAATAAATTATATCAATTTCGTACTCAAATTTCATTTAAACTCTAAAAGTTATAGTACCTATATAATTTACCGCCCTTAGTTATTATTTATCAGAATTTTTGGTTTATCCATGTTTATTAGTAATTTTTTGCACTTACCACACTTAATTTATAGACACTTAAACCTTTGTTAAATCCAATGATTAATTAATATCCAACATAGTTTCATTTTAATTTACTTTTCAATGAATAATTACCTCTGCAAATGAAGCTTTTCAGTTTAGGGCAGCCTCGAGCCAATGCGTCAACACCATTATCTGTTATTGATTGGCACCATGATACATTTACATGTGTCAGTAGCTGAAATAAACCATACATTTTCAAACACATTATCATTACATACATACACAAAATGTCAATAAACCAAGCCTGTAATTTTATAGCCTTATCAGAATACAAACCTTAAATTATCAATAATTAAGAAGATAAAATGTTCTGATGATTATAAATTTTTTGATTATATTTAAATATGTAGATACAAATTTGAATCACTTATACATAATAGATTTCTTTTACTAAATTCTATTTTTTTTTTGGTGTTGGTACGAAATTTGATAAATTTAACAACTACTTGTCTAAAATTATTATAAAAACTATGCAAATCATACATATCATAGTAGTAAGATATGCTTATATAGAATTATACTTTATATAGAATTATACTTACAGGACAGCCATCCGAAAGCGCCTTCAGAGAAATATCTGTAATGCTTGGACAAGAATCCACATTAATCCTGAAAGAGAAAAGTCAATATTATAATTGGAATGGCATTGGCATCATTATTTATATGTTAACTCAAAACATACTTTATTTATTTTGCATGCACGAAACACATTTTAGTAGACATTACATGCAAAGAAATATAGAGTATTTAAGAAATTATTGTTAATTTCCCAAGAAAACAATAATTCCAACATAATTAGTATATTAACATTTGTTTACAATTTTTTTGTATAAATTGCGGTAGTTCTTCAAAATCATTCATCATTGAAAATTGTTTGTACACTTAAGTTATCTTATTCATTGCCTAGTGTTGTTGTAATTTTATTTTAATCGTAAGGATAATTCAACATTCATTATAACAGGCTGTGCGTCAAATTTAATTTTGTAAATCATACTTACAATGTTCTTTATTAGGAATTACCTTTGTAATTTACTACATCTCCTGCCTAAAGCCTGGCAAGTTTGGTCTGTCAGCTTCTTACATTTATTTAGGTTTAAATCTTCAATGTTCGGACAGGACTGAAAAAAATGTGAGTAGAATAGATAAAAGACTAGTGTTTAATTACCTTTCCTTTTGATTTATAATTCCAATAAAAGATAGCAGCAATTTAAGTAAATAATTTAATTTCTTATGCCTTTGGTACAACTTTGATACCACGGATCTGGTATTTGGTGTTGTTTGGGTATTTTTCATGTAGGAAAGAAATAGGTGGCATTAAGAAATTACATCACACAATATAACATAATCACATAATGTGATTGACAACATAACTCCAATCGGTAGGTGAACTTGTCTTAAATTCTAATGACAAGATTGATGTTTGAATATCATAAGAATATATGTCAGTAGAAATATGCACTATATAGTTTAGTTTTTACTACTTACCTGTGCAAGTGTTTTTATAGAGCCATCTGCAATACTTTCGCATCCACGCAGTGACAGCTGTCGAAGGAAACCTCCGCATCTCCTTGAAATGTTTTCTATTACAGGACCCTGCCATAGAGTAAATGTTACAAAATTGTAGTTGGTTATAAATCTGTGTATGTAAAAGAAAAAGATAAAAGATTACTTCCTTACCTCCACGTCTCGCTGGAAATCAAACAAGTCTATTCTCTGCCAGTTAGAACCATCTAAAGCAAGTATGTTCCATAGTTTTGAAACCTGTTTTGGGAAGATTTGTTAAGAGAGACAAAATAATCATAGAGGTGTCAAATAGTACTTCAATATGTAAAAAATAACTATAAAACTACCTGAGCGCAGCGGCAGAGAGAAACTACGTCCAGGTAAGACAATATCCTAAGAAGTAACTCTTTGGGCAATTTTCTGTTGATATGATTTTCATCTTCTCCTGAAAACCTAGCTATCTGTAAAAAAAACATTACTTTGATAAATTAGTACTAATAAATTGCTAATTTATTACTACTAATTTTTGCTTCTTACTACAAAATTATTAATTTTTATTATATCCATCATCTTAATCTTAAACATTATGTAAATCAAAGTATCTATGCTTCAGATATGAGATGTTTAAAAGCACATTAAATCACTAACATACGTACGACTTACGACATATGTAAGTTGTTTATATCAATAATTGCCTAGACATATTTGAAAATAAAATCTGGAGACTGATAGATATGAATCTGTTAAACTATAAATGCACTATAAAATACAATGACATACCATGAATTTACAAGCATTTCAATGAAATAAAATGCTCCTTATTAGCACAAAAGGTATATAGTTTTATGTTTATAAAAATTTGCAAATACGTAATATGCAAAAAATATGCTTATAAAATGCATAAAAAATTTATAGCTATAGATTTTTGCCTTTATGAAGTTAAGAGTTAAAAATATGTGTATGAAAGTTCATTAAATAACAAATTAGTGATAAAATAACTATATAAATGCACCCATAAATTTTTTTAGAACATCTGCGTAACGGTATCATACATTACGCGAGTTGAGTGTGCCATTCAAACAGAGGTCAATACACTAAGGAACAAAGAAATACCACACATTTTACACAACATCAAAAAGGCTTTTATATTCAATAATGCTATTTCAATGTTCTGCACTTTGTATAGCGGGAAAGATACGGAAGCAAAATTTAAAAATAGAACAATAATTTTGTTTACCATATTTGTTTTCTTCAATTGATTTAATACTCTGTTTAAAACTTATTTATTTCAAAGCTCAAATGTACATGAACCTTTAAATATTCTTATGCGAAGTGTTCCAAAAGTGTTCTTTGTTCTCGCATGCGTTGGATCTGATATATTTCCTTAGTACATACAGCGATGTCAGCTGTTTCAATCAAAGCGAAAACAAACAAATCGGTAAATCGATGCGACTTACCTCGAATTTATTCCTTCCGGAATAAGTCATACTTGGGTACGGCCTCACCTTAGCCACAGCTCAATTTTCTCCACAACACAACTATAAATTTAATAACCACGGGAAAGTCGTGACACGAAAGCGGACGGTTTTAAAATTCAGATTTTTCAGTATCCTACAATGGCCGGAGTGGAGCCGATCTTCGATGGTAAAGTTAAGATACGTTCAGAAACCTAAGCATCTACACTTATGAACATAATTACTTTAAATATACATGATACATTGTAAAGATAACTGCAAAAATATTCTAATTTAAAAAAGATTAAAATTTTGGAAATTTATTCATGTCAGTCGTGTACAAAATTCTAGCTATAAATGATTGGACAAATTAATGTTTTCAAATTCGTTCAAAACATTGTTTCTAACGAATCTGAAACAGCTGGACTAAACGTCAAAATAAAATTTGTAACGTCTGTGTCAGTGTCACCACTGTCAATGTCAAATTTCTTCTTCTTCTTCTTCTTAATAATGGCTTGCTTTGTGAGTTATCACAATTCCGCCAATGTCAAGTTGTTAGCCATTACACGTAGGGGAATGACAGTTTTAAAATATAAATTTAGTTATCGGAGGTTACTGCTTTAAGCATGTTTTACTTGAAATAAAAGGACGTCATATACAGGACAACACATACATGAAACAGATAAAGTTGGTGTGGTGATATAAAATTATAGTTTTAATTTGTTATGGGAAATAAATTTAGACAAAAGCTTGGGAATTTGATAATCTCTTATACTTAATAAGGTTTTCATGCAAATGGGACGAGGAACACAAGTGGGTAGGACGTCATAAAGGGAGATATTTAGTTTGGGACAGTTAAAGAATAGATGGTCCACTGTACCATCCTCGGTTCCGCAATCACATACAGGGTTATCACGTATTTTGAGTTTAGCCAGGTGAACTGGGGGGTAATAGTGTGGCCTATTCTTAATCTACAAATAGTAGAAACTATTCTTTTATTAAGAGTCTTCATCTTGAAGAACCATGGGTGTAGAAGGAATAGTTTGTTGTATGTCATAATAATATCTGCCAGTATGGTTCTTAGTCTGTAGCCAGTGAGTTTCCCACGACTTAAATAGGAGTTCATGAGCTAATGAGTATAAGTCCTGATGGAGCACCTTGGAATACTTAGGATCACCAGAAGAAATGGCAAGTTTAGCACAAGTATCCGCAGTTTCATTGCCTGGTATGCCATTATGGCCAGGGATCCAGGCCAAGACGACATTTATTTTTTTTTGGAGACATCTTATCAATGCCTCTCTGATTTTTAATACTATTGCAAATTTAGATTTAGAGCGAAATTGGTTTGCAATTATGGCTTGTAAGCAGCTTCGAGAATCTGTAAAAATTATTGAGTTATTCAGGCAATGTGACTCTATGAATAAAATAGCTTCCAGAATAGCAATGGCTTCACCATTAAAAACAGAGGACACAGGAGGCATTTTAAAACTGAGAATTATTTTATGCAATGGAATCCAAACAGCAGCTCCTATAAAACTGTTACCTTGCAGTTGAGCAGCATCTGTGTACAATGGAATCCAATTTTGCCAGTAGGTTGATAGATTTTTATGGAATGCCTGTACTGCTTGAGGAGAGTCTTTTTCAACGCCAAAATTTAAAATAACATGAGGAGAGAAAGTCAAGGAATCAAAACTGTTCAGATATAGTGGCTGACATGGAAATTGTTCTATTGGGATTGAGTTCCGGCTAAATTTGTTATAGCTATGTAGAATGCAGGGTATCTTATTAGTGGGGTCGGACATTGACAACTGGGACAGTTTTTTCAAGTTTTCTAAGCAACGGGTGTGCCGAGAAACTAAGAGTTTTAAGGATGAAACGATCGCTAAGAAATTGTCTGCGCAGATATAGGGGAGGATCAACACTTTCTACTTGAAGGGCATTGATCGGGGAGGATCTCATAGCCCCAAGTATAATGCGCAAACATTTTGATTGAATTTTGGACACTTTGTCCAAAGGCAGTTTTGTTACAGGGATCTAGAAGAAAGGTGCCGTAGTCCAGATGACTACGTACTATAGCGTTGTATAGCAACTTCTGGGTATAAGAGTGAGCACCCCACCATACCCCGGAAAGGGCTCTTAGAATGTTGACACTCTTTTCGCATTTTTTTATGACATTTTCGAAATGGGGACAGCCAGAAAGGCGGGAGTCCAAAATCACACCTAAAAACTTAACCTGGTTGCATATTGGAATAGGGCTATTTTCAAAAGAAATATTTGGAGATGGAACCATACGTTTTTTAGTGAATACTGTGCAGCAAGATTTTGAAACAGACAGTGATAATCCATGGTCAGATAGCCACTCACTTAGGTATGACATTGCTAGATTAAGACGAGAGGAGGCTTCAGGGTTTTTTGATGTATAGAGCGACATCATCGGCATATTGGAGAACTTGGCAGAAGGAGTCAACAGTTCTCTCTAGGTCGTAAGTATAGATATTGTACAGCAGGGGACTCAGAACCGAACCTTGGGGGAGGCCCTTCCATAGCATACGCGGAGGGAGAGAAATATCCTGATGTCTAATTTCAATAGTTCTGCAGGATATTGCATTAAAGATGAAACAGGTCAACTTCTCAGGGACACTCAGCTGCTGCAATTTATGCCTGAGTACCGGGAGGAGGACATTGTCGTAAGCGGATGCTATGTCAAGGAATATACCCACTAAATACTGCTCCTTCTTAAATGTTATTCGGATATCTGTTGTCAGGATGCTAAGACTGTCCATCGTGCTACTGCCTTTCCTAAAACCATATTGCGATTTAGCTAGAAGGTTTTGGCTTTCTAATAACCATTCCAACCGATTTCTTATCATGTGTTCCATAACCTTGAACAATGTAGAGGATAGAGCAACTGGTCTATAGGAATTAAAGTCCCGCGGATCCTTATGCGGTTTCATTAAAGGTATAACTATTTGTCTCTTCCATATCTCAGGGACTATGCCCTGTTCGAAGAAGTAGTTAACTACCTTTAAGAAGTACTGTTTGGTCTTGTCGGTGGATTTAACCAAGAACGAATAGGGAATACTGTCGGCTCCGGGGGACGAGTCCTTAAGACCGCATAAAGCAGTCTGAAGTTCATCAAAAATAAACGGTTTTATCCATTGGATGACTGGAGCGGATACTTAGGTGAGGGCTGACGGGGAAGACATTCTCTAGGTGGAACAAAGGGAGGAGCCAATTTGTCTGCAAAAGAGTCCAACCACACTCCAGGGTTATTCGATGTAGGATTGGGACGGTCTGAAGCCCTGCGGAACTTCTTTATTTGCTTCCAAACAATGGTAGATGGGGTGCCAGGCGCCATAAATGTCAAATTTATAGCGGACTAGTTCACCTAGTAAACGTAGTGGTTAATGGTTATATTCTCTTTGGACTAGTTGTATCAAAAAAGGTGGTATAATGTTTATATAATGGTAATTAATAATCATAGGAAGAAATCCCAAGACCATAACTTATAATAATAAGCGAATTATAATGTGACAACAACTTCTAATTGATTCTTTTTTTTTTTAAGTTAAAAGTTGCCAAGTGAGCAGGCCGTTCATCTGATGTTAAGTGGATATCGCCGCCCATGAACATTTGCTACACCCGAGGGTTCTAGGTGCGTTGATAACCTTTTGAAAATTGGGCTCCAGCTACCTCAATCACAAGACGAACCGCGAAAGTATTATACTTCCACTTCACGCCGGTCTTCTGTGAAGTCGTGGTACTTACCCGGACGAGCCTGCCCATTCGTGCAACAGCCGAGGCTGCTGCGTGGCCCTACCCCTTCGCAGTGTAGTTATCGATCACTGAAACGTTAAATGTAAAGTATATTCCAATAAGTTTACTTCGCAATTTTTCATAAATTATACACAAATTAAATAAACCAATTTTTTTCCAAATCAAAATGAAATCATTTATTCATTGAATAAACATACATTTTAATCTATCGATAGTCATTTTTTTAAAATCTATCCAGATACACAGTTTAATAATAAGGTTTTTCTAACGGAGAACAAACAGGCGAAAGAAACTCCTTGGGTATCGTCTTTTTTGTCATATTTTCCCTCAAATTATTAAACATATTATATTATTATATTAAACATATTTTTTTTTTAGAAATAACTTATAAAATAAATGATTAATAACTATTGATGTAATCATTTACATTAAGACCAGTGTTTCTCCCGCGTTGAAGCCCTTAAATAAAGTACCTGGAGGTTTGTTTTTTTTTGGGTAAATCATGTATTTTGGAAATTACATTTAGATACAAATTAACGAAAATATGCATAATAAGAAAATATGAACTGGTGCTTTTCACAAAAGAAAGAACTTTAAAAAAAAGGGAAAAAAATAACAAAATAACAAATCGACAAAAAATAAAGAAAGCAATGATCTGGAATCGAAAAAAACGTAAAAAAAAAAGAGTATCTTGTATCTTGTATTAACTGATGTTTTTGCTTTCAGTCCCGAGACTATTAAAGCTTCATCTGACGCAGAACCGGTGGGCTAGCCAGAACCCACGGGTTTGGGCCCTCCGCTGTGGGTAGGGCCGCGCATGTGCTCATGCGTGCGTTTAACTACGACATGTCATCTAAGGGCCATCGAAGTTGCGGTGCGGACCGAGACCCCGATGGCCGTCGACTGTGTTTTGAGCTAATCGGTGGCTGGGGGCGGTGAGAACCGCCCTGGAACGCGGGTGTACCTTGTGTACGCGTTGTGTTGGTCTCGCCGTGCTCGGAGGCGAGGGCGAACTAGTGTGTTTGTTGTTGCACTAGCTGTGGGTGTAGTGTTATCCGGCGGGACCCCCGGCGGTGGGTCCGGCGTATCTAAGTCCCCTTCCTCGACCGGGTCGATGAGGACGTTTCGCGGGCGACGCTTGTTGACATTCGCGTTTGTGTCGGGTTGGTAATTTGCTGCGCTTACCACCAGAGGGTTGGGATGATGTTCGGCTCTATCGAAGAACCGTTTGGTCAGGTCTTTAAAATATTCGCGAA